TCTACGAGTAAGCCGCTTATCCCTCCCTCTCTTTCTCATTCTCAAGCCGCGGAATATTTCCACTTCAGTGTAAATATAGTCAATTGGGAATGTGGCGGTTTTTTATGTGTCGTACGGCCAAGGGTTGCGCGTAATGCACCGCACTTATGCCGCCGGTAAATTCTCCCGATAATTGCGTAGCAGCGACGGCGCGGGTGCTCTCGCAGGATCCTAGAGAAAGGATAATGGGCCGAGGGAGGTGGTTTATCGGGCGCGTCTACGTGTACGTGTATAGCCAATGCGAGAGCACCGAGACGGGTGGGATTACGAGTCCGCGGGACTCAGAAGTACCGATTTTATTGCGCTGCCCGATCGGACACTTCCCTCCCTTCGTGGCTGCGTCCGAGGACAGCGCGCGGTGTCCCGCGTGGGTAATGTTAAAGGACGTAAATTTAACCGGCTCGAATAGCGCGGTGATTTATGTCCGCGCGCGCGTGCGACGGGCGTATATATATATATGTATATACGCGTTTACGGATCGGTCGGGGCGCGTTGCGTAAATTATATCGATTTTACATGGCCAGCGGGTCTTCTCTCGAATGACCGAGGCGAGACAGTTTGTCGGAGCTTGGAGAACCCCGATAATCCGGATCGGTATCGAGAGTCGAAAGGGCTAATAAAATGGCACGTGCATTTTAATTTAGGGAGCAGCATTGCGGGAATAACATAATCTGAATTATTTGCGATACCACGTTTTACAATCTTTAAACGGAAGAACCGAGACCATGAATGCAACGTGCTCTCGCGTTGCCTCGCCGAGCAACGTAACTCACGTAACTTTTAGAAAGGATAACGCGAGCACCTTCGAGAGCTGAGTGGTTGCGCGCGCGCGCACGATTCGCGGAGCCCTTGACGCCGGAGATATCCCGGCGACGTGTAAATCATGGGGCGTAAACTGCATTCCGGCTGCTAAATTACTTCGCTGATGCGAGCCGACGGTATCGCGAAACGGCCCGCCTACGCCGAACCGAGTCCGCCTCTCTTACGTACGCGCGTATAACCCTCTAATGGATATATGTAACGCCGTGCGATTGCATCGTATATTTCAGGCTATTGAGGTGGTTGACAAAAGATTATTGCAGGCTCGTGGTACAATCCTGCCGCTTGGCGCCGCCAATCCTACGCTGTTTTACGATAAATCTTTTTTATTACATCTAAATAGATTACATCTAAATAGAAACATAAAAAAGATATGCACACTAAAGAACGAAAATATAGCTTATTTTTTAATACGTGGAATATTATGTATAAATTGAACTATATTTTTGGAGTTAATGAATAAAAAAATTCTTAATTTCGTAAGTCACATCGGTTTGATTAAAAGAGAGAAGAATGAAGTTTAAGAATAGTTTAAGAATAGTTTTCCAATTAACCTAAGTATTAACCGCAAAAACCACGTAATAAATGAAGATAGAATACAAGACAGCGCGGCCATGAAATGACACGCCAGTGCCTTGGACGCATTTCGATCAAAAAAGTTACTGACCTTCGTCAAATGCTTCATTCTAACGTAACTGATAATGTAAATAAGATTGCGTCATAGCACTAAGCGATATTCGTACAATCCGTGTTTATGGATCGCGACGTCGCCGTTTACGGTTACGTGAATTCAGCTAGTATTTCAGTATTGATCGATGATTTACTACGCGAAAAGTAACTCCGCACCCGCCCCGCTATTTAATTTGAATACTCGTTCCGTTAGCACGTGGCCTGCAGACGCGGCTACTTCCATAAGTGAGATATCTTCTCCTCGAAAAAAAAAAAGAAACAACAAGTAACACGCGAAGGCCGAGTCCCAATTATCGATTTCGACTTGAGATAGTTCTGCCTCTCTGGTTTCTGCTCTCTCTTTCTCGTATATCGAGACGTAGCTCGCAAATCACAGAAAAGCGGGTTAGAGAAAAACTGTTTCTCTTAAGAGAGAAAAAAAAATCGTCGACGTGATTAATCATCGATCCCGTAATCCGACGGAATTGAGACACCTGACGCGTTCGCGATCTTCGGGATTAAAACGCTTCGGACGCAAACGCGAACGCATATATAACGGAATGCGAACTCGCGACGATCGCACGGATCCGCGGAGGGTCTCTCGCGCGCGAGGGGGGATCGGAGAATTTCTTCTTTCTCATTATCTGTCATCTTAACGTGACGCGATCTTTCTCGCGGCAGCGGATACACATCTCTCTTGCGAGAGGCGAGACAGGCCTGCCCCCCCTCTTTCCCCTCTCGCGTCCGTCCCCGCTGTCTCGTTAACCGATGGGAACAGATTTCTGATTGCGTCCCCTTCCCGTGTTCTTTACCAAACGGCCGTCGCCCGCCTGCGGTGCACACGGTGCAACCGAGCACCTCCGGGCGGATTTCGCAAAGGGACCATTTCCACGGAGTCGAGCGCGGCCGCCGTGTTACCGAAATATTAGCAACAATACACGTTAAAGCATTCTCCTTTGTTCGGACCCACGGCGCGCGGCGCGGCCGTTCGCGGCGATCGCTTCGCGATGAATCCGATTCGCGGCCAGATACGCGATGATAACCGGGACGCCGACGTCCCGGGAATCACGACGGCGCGGTTATGGGTCACTTTCGGATTTCGCAAAATTGCGCGGCCGCTTTCGGTCGATTCGGTCCCGCGAGAAGACCCCATTCCCGGGCATGACTGTCGACGCTAGTCGATCTCGGTGGAATCGAGCGGCGTGATTCTCTGGGAACGCACGAGCAAGAAGATGCGATCGGGGTCTCTCTCTCTCTTTCTCTCTCTCTCTCTCTCTCTCTCTCTCTCTCTCTCTCTCTCCGACCGGTATACTCTCGGTAGTTACCACTTGTAATGTTATTACGTAAACTAAATCGACAGGCATAAGCGGATTTGCTAGCAGGCATACTAATCGGTTGCTTCAGGCAACCGTTTTGCGTGCCTACTTGAAAGCCTCATAATTGTTTAGTCAATTTGTAACCGCTTATCCCGCAGTAAAGTTTATATACCTATACATAAATAAATAATTGCCACGCAATCGAAATCGTAAATCAGCCATTAAACCGACACGTATGATTGTTTAATTATTTCGCAATTATTAAATTCTATAAACTCAAAGTGTTTTGTCTGGCTCTGCGGCAACCAACCAGCCAGCAGCGATTAGCCTCTCTATTTTACTCGATAATTCTGATTGATATTTTACTGTAATAAATCTAAGCCGATTGCTCGAGTCTGCCGGTCTGCCAGTGTGACAAAATTTTCCCCGAATCTGCCGCGAGTTTCCCCGAGAGACTCGCCGTTTCGCAAGGCTTTTCGACGAAATATTCGAGCCGGCGCGGCTCGCTCGATTCTATTCCAAGCTCGGCCACTGCCGCGCGGCGAAGTTTCGCAAATCGGTCGTTTCGCATGCGAAACCGACCTACCGTGCTACCGGATTGCAAAAGGCCTCTCCTCCCTCCTCCTAAACCAGCAGGAGAGACGAAACGTGCGGAACCCGCCCGCGGGAGATTCCTGCATTTGGGAACGTTAAACGCCGTGTGTCGCGCGGGAACGTTTCTTCGAGGGGGAGAAGGAACCTCTCGCGGATAATTATGTATTACGTAGAGACACGTTTAATTGCTCGCACGACATACAAACAAAGCGGCACACGCACGCACACTCGTTCTACACACTCGAGATTCTTCACTCGGTTATCATAAATCTCATAAACGAGATAATTATAATGATTCGTTTACTCTCACTTTTCTTGACTCCCCTGATGAATGGCTGCGACGTGATAGCAAGTACGAGAAATGCATTCAAAGCCTTAATTAACTAATCTCTCATTCGAGTAATATTCGTTTCTAACAGAGATTTATTGATTAAATTTGTCCTGAGCAACAAAATTATAGAAAAAATGTTTATTTATCGGAGAAATTACTTTTTAAAATTTGGAAGGAGACACGGACATGCAAATTATCAGAAATCATTCGTGCCTCGTACCAGTTCCGTATGGTTAATGAATTCAAATCGAAAGTAATTAAGTAACATCCCGTTTAAATTGATATTCATTAATTCTACGTTAGCATACCTCGATCTTACGCGCAGAGATTTATCCCTTGAGTTTTGCCCGCAGTAACGAGAGAGATTGTACGTTTATCGGCCTATACCGGAACAACTCGACTCGAAAGACACGCGCCGTGACAGCGCGTGACGTTTGAAAGAAAAGTGCGCTCGGTGTGCGTATAGCATCGGTCGCCCGACGCGGGACATTCCTGTCAACCGGGGATCGGGCACGAAAACGGGGAAGCGAGCTCTTCGAGAATAGAGCACTACCCTCAGGCGCACCCCGGGGGATCGGCGGGCGCGCTGGCGCTCGATTTCCGCGTGTGCCAGTTATCCAACGGCACGGACATTACGTAAACTGACATTTTCGCGCAGCTAATACGAGCGAGCGAGCATGCGATTCCAGCCTGAGTTAGCAGCGAGCTCTACTGTGCGATAGCCTTTCCCGCGCGGACCGTCTCGAAAGGAAAAAAAAAGAAAGACTCTGTCTCGATAAATTGTCGCTGTCGCGCGAGACCGAGTAATCAATTCTCCGTCCGGTCGATCTGAGATCATTCGTTACGATCACACGTATACCATTAATTGTGAGCCAAATAACTCTGATTGAAATGGTTCATTAACATTTGTCTAATCTTGATAAGATAAGAATAGAAATCTTACAGAAGATTCTTATAGGACCTTCAAAAAATGTCGACTGGTGATTTTAATGCGATCGTATATAAAAATAATCGTGTTTAATTCGATGCTTAATTCATCAATAATGTTGGCGCGTACATTGTTATATTTTTGAACACATAAAAAATCATGTAAAAGAGAGGCAAAGTATGACACTTCGAACGCGTTAGAGTTAATTGGCTCGGCCGCGTTTACGGTGTGGCCTTTAACGCACCTCTTCGCGCTCGGCGACGCGGAGGAGGCGCGCAACGATTAATGAGTCAGGCAAACTCACCCACTCTCGACACGACCGCCAGGATCAGCAGCACGCTGCTCACGATTATCATCTTCTCTCCGTTGGCCGTTGGTCGCTGGCGTGGAAATCACGACGTCAGGCCTCAGCTGACGGTGGTATCGGCCAGAAGACGATGGGGCGCGATCGCGGCTGTTATATCCTCTTCGCCTGCTGCACGCGGACTCTCACACACCCCGACCGGCACCGAAGGGAGGCAAAACCGGCGCGGGAAATTTGAAATTCGCTCGAGCGTCCTCGGCGTCCACCGGACTCGAGGAGGGATGGGGTTACCCGCGGATTGACCTCGCGGGCCGATCCGTCACTCCGAATCTTCCGTGTTTTTATTTTCCCTTCCTCCTTGTCTCTCTTCCCTCCGACGAGCGCGCCGACGAGCGAGCCTACGAGAGCCGCAGCAGCAATGCAGCGCCGTGTCGTTCAGAGCCGCGAGTGCGCCATGGACGTCGCCAGAACGTATGCTACGGTCACGAGGAGAGAAAGGTGACTGCGGGTATATACGCGAGGCGTGCACGATACCGCCTGTCTTTCATGGCATAGTCACCTTTCTAGCGGAGCGGGCAACAAAGAAGGGAGCCTTGGTGCTATACCCACCACCGCGCGCGTTGCCCACCACCTCGGGTAGACGTATCCGCGATCACCAGGGATGGAGTGGGGACCAGGTGGTGGACGTCGGTCGCCTCCGACGGCCGCTCGAAATCCGCGTTATCCGCGTCGCTCCAGCTTCTCTCGCCACGTTCGCGCTGCATTGTTAACCCTGAATCCGTGTTCTCGGTTTCCTGCGGCCAAGGTGGGAGACGAGGGTTGCGTGATGATGAAGGGATGCACTCCAATCCGAGTGGCGAAGCCAGATTTCCGTGCGATTCTTCAGATCAGGGCGAACTTTTCAAGAAACGGATAGAATCCTCGTAGAAGGAAAACTGCAGATTGTTGACAATGAAAATTCTAAGCTAATAATCATGATCGAGTTACAATTAATTAGTATCATAGAAATATTGTCATGAAATTATGATCGTCGATTACAGTATAAATAAAAATTATTAACATCATTTGTTTAAATATTTCTGTGTAGAAGACGAGTTAACAAATTAATTAAATTAAAGTCTACAATCTACAATATTAAAGTTTATAATCGCATTACGGGATCTACTATTAAATGATCGATAAAAATAGTTATTGTTACCTCCAGTGTTTTTTTTGTATAAAACAGTTTATTTTTTTCCCCATATAAAATGACTAATACTATATCTTATTACCTTACATTATTTTTTTTCCGCAATACGATTACATGGAAAATGTTTAACAGATCGGAACCATCGCTTCGTATCGGATAGAATCAGAATACCTACGGCCACCGCGTAGGACTTTTTTTTTCTTTGTACGAAGAATTATGCTTGCCTTCAGTGGCCGGTAACGATTGGAACATATTTGATTAGGATTGTTCGCCGAGCAAAGGATAGAGATTATCCTACCAGTTTCTATATACACCCAGATACTAATTTACATTTATCAATTGATGCAACTCAAGGACAATCGTAAGGTAGACGTACAGTCGTGGACAATGAGGTTACGACACTTTTTTTTCAGTGAATTTACGAATGTGAATTTATTTAATAAACTCACAAACATGTTCTATATAATTAAAATGACGTCAAGACTAACGTCAAATTATATCATTTATTTAATATTATTTGAGAAACATTATTAGAATGTTTAAAACCACGCGTTCATAAAACTAAAAAAAAAACTCACTAAAAAAAACGTGTCGACAAAAATGTCATTGTCCACGAGTGTACCTATCCAATCGCTGGAATTAATGACAATACGAAATTCCGAGTAACAATAAAAGCTTCAATTAATCCCGCAGTCGTTTTTGATTCTCTCTAACGCATACACATATCCTCCTTAAGTTGCAGAAATATATTATGCATAAAAATTACGGAATAACTTCTTCGATATCCCTCTCGAATGATTACGGAACGCACAATAGAAAAAAAAACATATCACATACATAAATAGCTTTCCGTCTTCGGGACGTATGCAGATGCCACATTATTGTACGGTCCTTCTAACCGAGGGATTATTACATGTTATTTCTCTCATCGTGTAACAACGTATATCGGTGTAAACGACTAGATATTATTGCGACGCCTTGAACAAAGAAAATTTTTTTTTCTTTCATTTCTCTCCCTTTTTTCTTCAAGCACGTTCCTGAGAACTCGGCAGTATTCAAATAGATAGATATGCTGAACTAAATAAATATGCTTATTGGACTCGAAGTCCGCTCGTGAACCAATGCGATCGATAGAACTTGGTTACGAAGTAAAACAATGCAGCATACGCAATAGCACATAAACAATTGTGCACAATTCGATAAATCGAATCAGAATCTCTTTGGATATAAAATTTGATCAACTTCAAATATACGAAACATTATATTTTAAGAGAGAAGAGGGATAAAAAGGGGCGAAAGGGGGAGGGAGGGTTAGTATAAGACGATGCTTAAAATCATACCACATCAAAATTATTCGATAGCAAGAAAAATATCGATGAGCGCATTAAATCCTAACATCTTTACAATTGTTTTTAAATATAAACAGATCTTGCTTGTGCACCTCCCGTCTCAATACAAACATCGACTTTCACGTCATCACTATCAAAAAGCACTTGACGAAGTCTGCCCCTAAGACTTTACGGATTTCTTACGTAAATACGAACTTCTCCCGAATCTAAGAAGAATTACATGAAATACATTTATTCAAATAGAAAAACATTTGAAAATCTCTATGATTAAAAATATCGTTATACATACAAACGCGCTATCTTTTTGTTCCTTTTTGCCTTTTTTTTAAGCTGCAAGATAAATATTGCACGAAGACACGCACGTCAGAAAAATTTGATTTTTCTTTTTCTCTTTTTTTTTCTTATCAAATTGCTTAAACGATTTCAATGGCCAGTATGTGAAAAATCCAAGTGTTTCTTAAACAAGTTCTTTTTTTTTAAATTAATTTTTCGTTCGTTTCTTTTTTTTCTTTCATTTCTTTTTTTTTCTTTCGTTTCTTTTTTTTCTTCGTTTCTTTTTTTAAATTAATAATTACGAAACGATTTGTATGTACATCAATTAAATGCTGTTACCTGCAGTTAGCGATAGCTGCGCGAGACATCGTCAGATAGAAACGGCATCATTACGGCTCTACAATTTGTACAAAATTACTAGCAAATAAATCGCAGGGGATATCACCATGCGTCCTCGCTGAATAACGGACTTTGATTTGCTGCCCGACAACACCGATAGCCTAATATGGCGTAGCACGTAAACGCGCAAATATTCCCCATACATCTATACGCGTACATTTCGTATGACGGATAGATCTGTTTTCTTTTAGCTCATACTTATATTGCACTTGTTTACAATTCGCTCTTTCCTTCACATTTCCTCGAATGTTCTGTACATACAATATCTTTTCTGACCCTTATGTTCGCCGTAAGTGCAGAAAAGATAAGCGCCGCTAAAAAGAAATAGATCTAGTATCGTACGCGAAGATTTCGCGTTGTCCAGCGAAAAAATTAAATAGTCACGCGTAATCGAGCAATGTGTGTACAATTCTAATTACTAACTAGTTCAATTTGCCTATACTTCTTGCGCAAATTGCTCACGGAATCTTTGAACAGTACCGGGTCCAGTCGCATATTGGATCGCAACAGTGGCATATACCCGAAAACAGCGACGAATGTATTCATGCACGTTTGCCGCTGTATGAAATGATCCGGGTCGTTCCACGGCGATCTGAAAAATTCAACGGTACGGTGTGAGTCAGAAGCGCGATAACGATATCGCTACGGTATGCACATATCTCGACGAAAGCATAATCTATATCTACCTGATGCCAGCTACCGTGGTATCTTTGTACAGCTTGCGCTGCGTCACTTTGATAGGCGGCCTTCGGGTTACGTGACTCACCAGGAAGTTCATGAGTATATCCTCGCAGTTCTGCGACTGCTCGACGGTCTTGTGGAGAGTCGAACTCAATAACTCGGTATATAGAGTATTATAATAGCGGTGGTAAAAAGCGGCACCGGTGAGAATGATACTGTAGTCGTTTGTCCACTTGCTGGTGTAACCCCAGGAACGCTGCGAACGCACAAAAGCCCAGATTAGCCCAGATTACGAAACAGATTGTAGACTGAACGGAAGTCCATTTAACGCCGGCTGGCACCTACACCTACCTTTGAGTCATCCCAATAGTGGGACCTCGCTGGATACCCCACTATTCGATCGGGAAATGACCGCCAGACCGTAAAAGCGAAGTCAATCTCGTCGGTATTTAGAGTGGCGTCCTCGTCGAGCGACAATATGGCACTAGTTTTGATTAACGGATGAGGATAGAAACGTTGAGATATGCCGTCAACCGCGACAACGTGGATTGACGCTCTGATACCTTGCCAACGTGGCTTCCTTGGCACCGGAATGTCCGAGTTCCACATAAGTATTATCTTGAACAAAATAATTCGTTACAACGCACGTCACGCGGATGTCATCGCAAAAAAATTCATAGCAGAGGGAAATAATAATAAATTAGCAATGGATAAGCTTACCTTATCTAGATATTTGCTTTTCGCCAGGCTCCTAAGTAAACGATAAAGTACGGCGGTGGATCCCAATTGCGAATAGATTATGGCAGTGAAAGTGTTACCAGGATTACTGTTTGAAAAGGGAAGCTCTTGCTGGCTGTCGGCGAATTGCGGCAAAATTGTCAGTGCTCCGGGATTAGTATTCCAGACGATTCTTTCCCGTGCACCTTCCCATGGCAAACGCTCGCGAATATTCTAAATTATATAACATAAATATAATTAACGAGAAACGAAATAAGAAATTATAATAAGATGGAACAAAGAATCCGCAATTACCTCAAACACAGTGAATACAATTTTTTCAATAGAGGAAAAATATCTCTCCCATAAAAATTGTGTTTGTTGTCGTAGTTTAAGAATTTGTACATTGGACACGGACCTTAATATGTCTGGAATCTTTAAAATAATAGATAATTTAATAATCCGTTTTGGAACAAAATAAAGTCAATTCAAAATATTTGTACTTGCGTTTCAACTTACTTGGAGCAGCAATCTCTCGTCGGAAAATATTGCAGCCTGAGTCCAATCGATGCGCTCGTGAAAGGGAAGAGCCCAACCGTTACTTAAAATGACTGGAATACATCCCGATCTCAGGGCTTCCAGAAACCGAAAGCTACCTAATCGTCGTCCTCGCGGAACCAGACAAAACGTAGCGTTCATTAATAAAATTTCATAGTCGTATCTGCGAAATGAAAAATATGAAAAATTATATTTCAAAATTCACACGTACGTGCTCACATGTACGAGCCAAACGATTCCAGCATCTTTTTCCTACTTACGTGTCGTACTCCTGATTATCCTGCTGACAGTGTTCATCCTGCAATTCTCTCCAGGCCTTCCCATGACGACAAGTCGTAACGAACACCAAGTCTTTGCCGTTGTGCAGATGATAGAGAGCATTTCTCGTCTCGGATCCAATACCGTGTACGTATCGCTTCCCCTTAAATGCCGCCACGTATTTCTTATTATTGGGAAAATTATTCTCTAACGCTTGCCCGGGTTCTCCGCCACGTTCCGAATGTTGTTTACCGAACAGTGGTATCGACACGTCGAAGTCAGGCCTGTGCCTAAAGATGGACATGCTGGCCTTGGCGAGCATGGCGTAACCCATGTCAAAGGTCAACGATTCCTCCACGTAATCGGGCCACGTGCCAGAGTACAAGTTAAATATCAGATGATTCCTTCCATTATTCCAGTATGGCAGGTGCAACAGTTTCGAGGGGAGGTTGTGTACAAATTCAGTAGACAAAGGGTCTCTATCTAACGTATCCAGGGCTAGGACAAATATACATGCTCGCGCCGGGTCCGACGTGTAGTATCTCGACTCTGTGATAACGTTTAATATTTTTTGGTATAGCGGACTTATCACATCCTCGACCGGGTAAACGTACACGGTGAAACCTTGCTTGCACCGGGTGAAGTCGAAGCAGGTCTCCATGCGACAGTGCCGCGTACGCTGTGACGTGGTAGCCAGAGCCCCGCTGGATGTCTTTAAATCTTTGTCATAGAACTCTTCGTTTAGACTTAAATATGAAGGCAATCGCTCGTAAGGCAACTGAGATCTGCCTGTCCAGTTTTCGCTTTTTAAACGGTACCCGCCGAAGTAGCAGTAACCAAGAAACGCGCATGTTACGAACAATAGTAGATAGCGTTTCTTGGCTTGCATCTTTGCGATACAGTCAGGTTATACAAAGGTATATGATAGTTCTAAGCATTATTTTCCGCCGATGTAAGTCTATATTCAGTCACAAACACATGTCGCAAGTCAGTTACTTGTGTTAGGGCTCAGAAGTTCCTCCAGGGTACAGTCACTCCTGTTCCTCCATATTGCTGCAACAAGATAAAGGCACGTGTCAAGCGTACAATCGACCTTTCGTAAATCAGATAAAAACATGCGCACCACCAAATTTGACTAGTATTTGAATGATACATTCGAATGTTACACAAAAACTTTGCGGAGAAATGTACATTGATAAGGCTCGTTATCATAGTGACGAAGCATCTCACATACATATCTACGACACGTCGCACGTTATTGTTACACAATTATTACACATATATTTTCGTATACAATCCTTTCCCATTCCAATTGAGCGGAGAAAAATGCGGATTCGTAAACGAAACACATCCGGAGAAATGCTATTACCTGTTCGAAACTAAGACAAAGAGTGGCTATTGACAGAGAGGGTTCAGGCTGCTCGATCCTCGCAAGAGACATGACGGCCCGGGCGGATACAAGCCCGTCGACAACAAATCCCAACCGGGGGCGATCTTCCACGCGACACAACGCGCACAACGCGACGGCAGATTGTGCGACAATCCGCTGCGGACGACACGATCCGCCAAGCCGACCTGGGCCTACACCTAACCTACAAATCGCGCGAATCGAAGCTCGCGCGACTATCGGCGGCACCGTAATTTCCGCATCGCGAACAAATGGCACGCGCGATCACTCATGACGATCACCCTCGGCGCGAGGTACGCCCGTCTTACGGCACCGCGGTCGCGCACCGCCGACGCGACGGCATCACCAGCAGCCTTCTAGGTTATCCGCGGCAGCACAGCAATGTCCCGTCGGGCCCGGCGGCGACTTTACGCCCACTCGCATTTCGGGCCGGTGACGCCGGACGGACGCGCGTGGCATCGATCGTCGAACGCTCGCGAGTGCAAAATCATTTGCGCGCCGCGATGCATTGAAATGAATCGCTCTAAAAAGGAATCGCACATACATACGCGAGAACGGTGCCGTGACGTCGCGACGATTAGAGTAGTGGCACACTGGCACACACCGCCTACCGCCCCTCCTCCCTCCTCGCCTTACTGTCCTGCGCCTCACTAGTCACTTCACGTTCACGCTCGCGCGAGAGCGGCGCGGGTCGCGGCAACTCGCGAACGGCGAACGAGCGTTCCACGCATTTTATGCGATGCATAAAATTGCTTAACCGATTTACGGACGAATGCACATGCGTTACATATGTAATAAAATAATGAAATTTAAAAACAAAATTTTTTGTACGCTTGTATATATGTATGTGTGTGTGTATGTGTGTGTGTTTGCAATGTATTGTATAATAATTAATATAATGTGAGTGTGTGTACGTTCTTTTTTTATATTTAATATACAATTTATATACGTAATTTTTATATTTATATATAATATTTACGCGCGCACGAAAAATTTTTTATTTGTATACAATATTTATACGCGCGCGAAAATTTCATTGCGTAAACGTTTTATTAAAATTTTTATATAAAATTTTTATATAAATTTTATATAAACATGTAGATATATATACATAAATTGCATTATTTATTATTATATATCTGAAGTTATTTCTATCGTAGAATGAGGGTCGTGGGTATTTTTTAAAACTCTGCTTTTACATGCGATTTCGATCGCACAAACTTTCAATCTACATCAATCTACAAACTTTGGACGCATGCACAAGAATATTATGTACAAATATATCGCGTATGCATTCCGTATATTCTTATAAAATGTTCAAAATATTACTCTACAAATTTTTATAAGTCGCTTAAAAGAGAATTGAAAGAAACTTCCACGAGCACGATAGATATAGGGCGAAACAAAGAAGATTCACTTAAAGATTCTAACTTAGGAAAAAAAGAGGTAAAGGGAACTTTTCACAGAAAAGTTAGCATTCTACTTCGTTTGGCTCTGTTCGAAACTTATTTATAAAAAGCTATTTGAATCATTGCCGTGGAACGTCTCATCGATGATCGATCAGTACACGACACCATTGTATTCGCGAAGGTAGACACAATACCTCATTAATAATCAAATATATGCAAATCTCTCGACACGTGTCCCAAACTGGAATTGTCGACAGTGAATGTACATCTTTATCGATCGACTACCAATTTCTGGCCAACTTTGAACTTTATAAAGAGTTGGCGGAAACAATAATATACGTTACGGATTTATAGCAAGAGAAAGAACTTCCGCGGAAGTGCAAGGCATGTTTCTTAGAACTTAAGAATGTATATAATAGGCAAGTCGCCGCAAGTCGTACACGAAGAGCCCTTGAATCGAGTTGACAATGCACGGATTGAAATACACGACGTTAGCTGAAACAAGACGACAAGCATGGAAGAGGCACGTTACACCATTCAACGTTCGTCGATCAATTTCTCGCGCGATTTATTATTATTGACATCGGGAATTAGCGTTCCTGGAAAGTCACAAAGTGATACGAAGAATTACAAACTTTCGCGCGTATGTATATATATGTATATAGAGAGAGAGAGAAGATTATTCTCGCGAATATCCGCATTAAAACATCCGCTGCACGGTGGTGCATGCAGTGACGCATATAAGGCGGCCCGTTGTTCGCAGAAGCGGATGTCGACGATTTGCAATTTAATAACCATTTCTCGTTAGCGCGTCGGAGCGAATCGCGAACGATTCGAGGTTTGAACGATTTTCGGATGCTCCGCCGACTCGATCGCGTGCGATCGGCTCGATCAAGCTATATACTTACTCACAGGAAGACGATCAGCTCGAATTCGATGCGAGCTTCGGTGCGGCTCATCCCTTATACGGTGTCCGCCGTGCCTTCGACCGCGATCGTGGCTCTCTTGCGAAGGCGCAGATTTCTATGTATCCTAGATCCGAGAAATGAAGTGAGGCCAAATAATTCAGAAGAGGGTGTAGCAGCCATCCTTTACCCTGCAGTAATGGGTATTTGGAATTAATTCCAAAACGTCAAAATTTCCAATCAATATTATTAAATGTACACCAACACTACTTCATAAAGCACTGTACGCGACTACCGGATAATTATCTCGCGCGTCTGGCTTTAACACAATTGTTAAGCTATGGCATGTCAGCAATATTCTATATAAAGAAATCTGTGCGCGAAAGGATTTTTGAACCGGCACGAGAGAGCCGCACATAAGTCGATGAACCGTACGAGATAAACAAGATATTGGAGGCAGCAAGTGTAAGAGGTCGTAAGAAATGAGTGACGTGATTCCACATGGCGTGAGACTAAATTAAAAAAAAAATTAAAGTAAAAACACTTGTCGGGAACGGATCGAACGGCCCGATATCGATTCGTGAGTTTTCGAGAGCTTCTCGAGCGTTTCCCCTGCACGTTCGAAGGACTTTGGAAGAGAGGCTCGTCTTCCCGATGCCGATCGTGCCGCACTGAATCGCGCTCCTTGACGAAGTGGACGTCCGCCGCGACGATGGAGTTATGAAATCCTTACCTTGACCACACACAAACGCGCGATCGTCTCTCGGCGCACACGTTATTGTGCATATATACGCGGCCGTATATATGTTGCACAACGTTCGCGAGGAGTAAACGCTTTTTTTTTGCCGGCCGCGCGAGGAATTTGTACCCTATTCTCATGCAGACGCGGATGTTGACGCTTCCTCCGCGAGGCTCTCTCTCTCTCGTGTCTCGGCGGAATATCTTTGGGTACGGCCTTTCCGTATTCGAACGGAAGAGAAATAACGAACGCTTTTGATTTCGTTATCGTAATGCTTATCATAATGCTTGTCGCGATAGAAATTAACATCTGGACATGCGAGCCTCGTCGTGAACGTTATCTTGCGTGCGTCACAGAGCATATTGCAGAGCTGAACAGAGCTCACGTTGGGATATTAATAATAAAAAAAAGCCGTTGCAAAAAAAACCCGTTCCAGTTAATGGTCAATTATGTAATTATTGATCGTCTTCCATGATCTTATATGAAAAAATACATGCTCGTATCAGAAGTCATATACACGCGACCCGTGGCTTCCGCGAATTTAAATGCGTCAACGTTATTCGTGGCGAGGAAGAGGTGGCGCGATTACGAAATCCTCGAAAAAAATGCTAATGCAATCATATTAGCAAATAAGTTATTTTCGCTCGCTTGGACGTTTTTTGACCGACGCCTGGGGAATCGGGCGATTATCGTACGATAATTCCTATCAATTGCCGCTCAGATTATCGAGAGATATGTGAAAAGATGTAATTCGACAATATTTCAATCGATGTGCCTCCAAATCATTCATTCGCGCGCGATGATTCGAGCTCACATTTTTTTCTTTTCTCTTTAACTTTCGCTCCTGTTGAGATAAAATATCATTTTTAATTTTTTTACTTTATTAATTATTTACTATTACAGAAATTTAACGCTGGAAAGACCAAATACATAAAAATACATAAAAAAAGGACGGCCGATTAAATTCGGCAGGGGGTGGTAGAGGACCCTTACAGATTGATTTGTTTTTATCGAATAAATATTCGATAAAAGTGGAACAATCTCGTTAAAGGATGAGGATTGCTTGTACATTTTCCTAATTATTAATTAATGAATGACTTGGTTTGAAAGAGCAAAGAAAAAAGAAGTATACCGGGCGTAATTCAACGCTAGTGGATGGATTTCACTTGATTTCATTTAAAACGCGAGCATGTCCACTCTCCCCGGTTTATAACTCGTAAATTCAGTGATAAAGCAGGGACTGGCACTGTCGACGAGTGCATGAAGTCGAACAGAAACTTCATACTTTACTCTCGCGTTCTTCAAACGATGGCGACGCCGTGGTTAAATCGAGCGGACACTACAAAATACGTCGATATCGATTAACGTGTCCTTCGTCATAACTGTCATGAGTAATTATAAACACGTGATGATGTACGATATAACACGTGTATACGTACGATTCCAAAAAAATGAAAAAAAAACGGACGGTGTAATGCCGCAAATGATGTGAATCACGCATCCCTTTCGCCCGGCGTATCGCGTATAGGCTCGTGACTCAGGGGGAAGTTATACAGTCCCAAGGTTGCGCACAAGAGGGTGGCCCTAAAACTTTTTCGTACTAGCTACATTCGACGGCGCTTTGTTGTTTTATTATTAGCGTGGAACGCGTTATTTTTAGAGGCACGAAGCAGTTTCTTGCGCCGCAGCGAGAGTACATACATGCTCATGTTTGTCTTTCCTTCGCGATCAGGCGGGCCTACATTACTGAAAGAGGAAGAAAACAGAGAGAGAGAGGGAGAGAGAGCGAGATGTTGACGTTTTCGCGCGCAACACTCCGGTGTTTTGATGGCGAATTGGTATATTAGAATAGGAACGCTCGAGAGATCGCTCAGTGGCGAATGTGCAGGCAATGAAACGGCCGCGTACTATAAGTAATCGCGCGTTAATTTAGTTCGGCACCGTGATTTCACCCTACCCTCCCGCCCTGCCGCTCTCCTGCTCCCGCAAACCACCCCCGAATACCCGCAAAAATATTTCGCTGGCGATGGCGATCCACCCACCCCTCGCCGCCCACCGCCACCACCACCACCAACGCCGCCGCCGCCGCCACGATACAGCGACGGACAGCGACGCCTCCGCACGGCGTCGATCAATAACACCGTCGTCGGCGTCGCCGCCGACGTCGAGAGCGTCGTCGCGTTTGCGAGGGAACGGTGGCGCGACGCGAGGCGTCGCGTTATCCGCGACGGCAACCGTTACGCCGTGCGTCGTCGACGGTTCAGCGGCGCAGCAGCGATCCGGTGCGAGCCTCTCGCGTGCGGGTACACGGCGACGGGCATGCGACTTGGAACACTCCCGTTGGAGTCTGTCGCAAACGAGGAACGTGAATCCGGGAACGCTGAGTGAGAATCGAGTGCCGAAACTCCGAGGTCCCACCCACGACATGGCCAAGGTAAGCTCCGGAACGAAAGGGTTGTGTGTGTATGTATGTGTGTGTGTGTGTGAGAGAGAGAAAGAAAGAGAGGGAGGAAAAAAGTGCTGCGATTCACACGTCGAATCTCTCTCTTCTCGCCGTCGACCGATCGGCGTGATATCGCGCCACCGATTCGCGGTAAACGGATGTTGTTGCGTTTCTTGTCGAGAGTATCGTTTTCCCGGTAACCGCCTCCCGGCTTGGAAAGAGAAAACGTCTCGGCGACGTTGAGCGAAATACTCGTACATAAATTATCTGACGACGTCGTAGACTCGCGGCTCGAATTAAACGCGGATAACGGAGGAAGGAATAATAAGGGCTTGTAAGAGAGAGAGAGAGAGAGAGAAAGAAAGAGAGAGCAAATACTTGGATAGGCAAATAATAATGGAAACAATATTCATCACCTCGCTCGTGCTTGTGTCTTCCGTGTTCTCGCGCAGAATCGGAATCATTCCTAACCGAGGGAAAGGTCACTTTGCGATTTTCGAATCGTAATTTTCCGTTTACAACGGTCACGTATACAAGAAGGTGGTCGTTTACTTTCAGCACGTCTTCGATCCGAGACGTGTGTGTCGCCGATTCGCGTGCGTAACGGCGAGCGGAGTCTCCGTTCGTTTCGGAGCAAGAGAAAAAAGAAAAACAACGAAAAGGTAAACGTCTCGAATACGTCTCGCGCAATAATATACGACAGCTGGGTCGCATGCACGAGCGAGGAGACGAAGGTACGATGCTACTTTTACATAATTTAGAGCACGTTCCACGGCGCAGACGCGGATAGATAATCTGGACACTGGCGAATTTCCCAGTGCTCCATTTACCGCACGCGAGAAATACGCGCGATCGCACGCGCGCCGACGATCCTCGAAACGTGACAGAGTCGCCGAGCAATAAAGATGTCGAGGGATACCCGATCCACCAGAACCTCGTGTTTTCTTTTCTATTTTTTCTCTCTCTCTCTCTCTCTCTCTTTCTTGTGAATTGGGCCAAGGGTCGACTTTAAGAAAATTCCGCTTCGACGACCAGATCAATTTCACGTCAATTCCATAGCTGACGCGTGGGAAGATCGTAAAGAAGATTCTCGCGAGACTTTCTCTCTAAACTTAAAGCTATAGACACTGCGTATTAGATTATAGCACAACATCGTACGACGCTGTAAAATATAGCTACAGGCACGCATCTCGCGGAATCGTGCCAATCTTTCCTTCCCGGACGAAAAGATAAACGCACGACGCGAAAGACGCGCGAGTAATCCCAGAGGCAAAGTCAAAAGGAGAGAGAGAGGTCTTGTCCCTGAAAACGTCCGCGTACTACGTACCTTACATCGTCGCGGTGCGCGACGTTATCGAGCGGATCGAGCGGCCGGCCCCGCTTCGCATATAATGATAATAATTCAACGTCGCTCGTACACACATCGGTATACATAGCGAGCGACGCGCGGATTCACGGCTTGGTGAATGCGAATTGCGAATGCCGGTCGTGTTCTGACAGGATAGAATAATCGTCGTCGTCATCGTCGCTCGCTCGCTACGCGCCTGGCGGCCAGTGGCGGCGACGGCGGTGGTGGCGGTGGTGGCACGCGGCAGGTGTAGCCGGGGGATTCGCAAAGCGAATCCGGAACGTTTTATTGTCGTACTTACTGGCCTTACTGCACGCCGCGTCGACCGCGACGCGATCGCGGGCCCTGTCGTTTAGTCGCTATCGATCCTCCGACGCCTCGCGAGCTCCACGCGCGTCGGTCGCGCCGCGCGGATTGTTTTGCTTTCCACGCCTCCCGCCCTCCCGTTTTGGCGCCGCGGAAAAACTCGGCACGGCGCGGCGTGCCTCCCCCCCCCGCCTTTCCTCCTCCATCGCCTACCCCGTGAGAGAGACCTCGCGACGCGACCCGGTCAGTGCCGCGTGGTGCCGCCGCAGCGAGAGATGCCAATGACACGGGGTACGTGTTTTCTTCCTCGACGTCGTTTCTCCGTCTTCGAAATATCGCGTGGTAACTTGTTGCGAGTTTCGTCAATGGGGGAGAGAGGGAGAGAGAGAGACAGTGACGCCAGCTGCGGGATAGCTAAGTGAGCCGGCGGCCTCCACAGGCATATGGCGATCTCCGTCTGAGAGGACTGTGTTCAATGGGTTCTATTGAAATTAATCACGATTTTACGGCGGGTGCTTATATAAATGCGTGTCTCTGTGTGTATATGCACGCCCGCGAGAGAGCGCCCGGCCTGGCAGGGGTCGGCTGCAGTCTCGGATTTATGTGGCTGATTTTAGACTCGTGACAATTAATCGCGGACAAACGGCGGGAGGGACGTTTAAACAACAGACAGCATCGTCTCGCGATATAGCTTATCTTATGTGTACGAAGATTGCTCCGATATAATTATTCCCCGTGCGGTACTCGCGGTCAGGTGTGTGGCACAAAATTCTGCCACGTTTCTCCTTCGTCGGCACAATGACTATATATAATGATGTTTCAAGTGTATTGTTGACACTGACACCGATAACACGGTTCCAACACGCTGTCTCTTACGTAACGCCCCGACAAGTGAAGTTCGCTAATGTGTGAAGACGCACAGGAGGATAACCCCTGATCCTGGGAAAAGGGACGGTGACTCCGTGATTACAAACAGGTAGACGAATTTAAATTTATGGAAAAGGGAACGCGCGTCGTAGAACGGCGGAGCGAGTTTAGTCGACGCTTCTTCTCCGCGTATTCGCGTGTCCGCGGATAGCTCGAATCCTGGTCGGGATCGCGGACGACGCTCGGGCTCGGCCGCGGTCGATCGCGAACGCGTGCCACGGACGCGGGAATGTGTATTCCATCGGAATTATAATCAATTGCCGTGGCACGCCGGCAACTACGTCGTGGCGCGTCGCCGCTATACGGCCGTAGTGTTACAAGTCACGCTGCCCGCGTGCATTATCTTAATTGCGTGACGTACAAGTCGATAATTGCGGCACATTGCGGGAATTCCGTAATAAAGTACGGGTAACTCCTTGAGGGTTTTTCTACCTGAATAGAGATACACCGTATACGGTACATACGTGTAATACGCGCGGTTATATTTTCTATCTTCACCGCGATTTCACCTCTGGGCGAGAAAGGAGAGAAGCAAATATTTGATCATTCGGTGACTTTTAGCGTTCCAAGTTTGACGAGTGTCGTAATGAAAAAAAAAACCTTGGATTTCCTCGTAATTCATCCAAGAGGCGCGGACGCACTAGGATGCGCTTGGCACATTACGGCATTAAGGTGGGCGGGTTTCCTCGTCTCGTCTCGAAACGTAACAAACCATGACTGCTGAACACGCGTCGGCCGTGCAAATTAGCGCGAATTAAGGCTCTCCGCGGATAAACCCTCGCGCGATTTGGCCTTTTATTGCTACTCCGCTTTGCATGCATGTATTATACTTATGCCGCGGGTGGCCGGCGCGGCGCGGTGCGGCGCCTCGCGCTCTTTTGACATGCAAATTTTATTCGCGATTTCTTAATTCACGGCTCGCTCGCACGCTCTCCCTTTCCTCGCGAGAGTCGCCGCGCGCGGCGACTTTACTACCACGTCGCTGACGCCGCTTTTTTTCTCTTCACGTCGCCTTGGCATTTTTTTTTTATTGCCGCGACAACGCTTCGTCGTCGTGATCGTCGTGGTCGCGCGGCCTCGCGCCGACGGTAGCGTCCGCATACCTGCGGACACACCCGCGCGCGCGAAGTACATACCGAGAAAATGGATTTTTCGATAAGACGATAGAGAATAAAATCTAAGGATGTGAAAGGCGCAGACGGCGGGAAACCGGTGTGACCGTGATGATTGCTGACCCATTACGTACGTTACCGCTCCTCGGCGCGTGGCTTCTGTTGATTTCCGAACGAAACGGCACGGCGGCGTTAGACGGACGTACGCGGAGGAAAAATGTCATACGCTCGTGCGTGTATCAACCTCCCGGAACGGAACGGGATGACGGGATCTGCGGTATACATATATATATATCTCGAAAAATATGTATTTCCGCTACGTTGTTTACACACTTTTTTTGCGCGCCCGCGCGCCTCTAGATAAATTGGCCCGATTACCTTAGATAAATTGGACAGATTACCCGACGCCGCGTCGCCGCTGCGATGAGCAGAACTGTTACCACTGTCATTTATCTTTGTTGGTGTTTTCCTCTTTTTTTTTTTTTACGAGTATATCAACGGCGCGACGACGATCGGTTCCGAAAATTCTAATGCTCGCGGTTCGGCAATAGGGAAACATCCGCCGGTGGGTAATTTACGGTCGGGAGCCCGACCCGTGTAGCGGTTCGCAGTAACCTAGTTCTCAGTCCGCCTCCCTCCCTCCCTCCTTCTCCCCCCCCCTTCGTACACGCGCTCAACGTTCTATTCGTCGGTGAACTCACGCACGCACTCGTCGGTTTACGTGCTTGTCCCGTTTCTCCGGAATCAGGGGGGGAAGAGCATATCGACGATATCTGGGCATCTGGCTATTATTCGTAGTAGACACGCTATAGCACAGTTCTATCTCGTTCCGACGGTATGTACACCTCGCGCGCGTCGCCGGAGAAAAAAGAAAAACAAACAACCGGCGCTGAGTTATCGGGCGTTTAAGCGACGACATTGATATAATATACCTCGCGCCGCCGCGCGAGGAAAGAAAACGAGCTCGCTAATTAGGCGTAATTGTCCCGGTGCTCATCGTCGCTCGGCATTCGTTACGTATGTCCGTTACGTGAAAAGAAGGAAATCATCGCGCGGTTGTTCGCGTTTGAGAGAAAGAGGCGCGAAAAAGAGAGCGAGAGAGAGAGAGAGAGAGAAGGGGAGACATCGTCACGAACTAAAATTAAATTAACCAACTGCCAGAGACATTTCTGATTCCATCTCGCGAGGGGTGGAGCTATTACTTGGAGGTAGGCCAAGGGCAACGGACTCTATACTTTGCGCTCAAATTGGACCTAACCTTGGAGAGAAAAAAAAATATATATATATCTATACAAAACTACCATTCGAGTAATTAAGCGATAATTCATTGTAATACGGAGAAACTCTTTTTTATCATTTCTACCAAAATGATCTTCGCGTGACTCGAGAAATCACGCGCTCATACGTCGTTCGTTGTTCTCTTGTTCGCAGAACGTAGGGGAGAGTCGGATACCTGTTCCACGGGCAGCGCGGCCGTCGTTCTTCCCGAAATCGAGAGTACTCGAGGCATCGAGGCTCCTGACGGGGAGTCGCCGATCAACGATCTTCTCGGGATGCTTTCAGTTTAACAGCGAGGACGAATCCCCCACTCCGCGGGAGTTCACGGGATTCGCAACATCTTCGCCCAACATCAAAAGTAATTCTCGTTTCGATGTTCACGTAATTAATTAATAAACGCGTAAAAGGGTATGCCATCTGGATGTGTAGTCGCTAACGTGTGCGAAACGCGATCCCGTGTTTCAGCCGATTCCACGGCAGACCAGACATTCTCGTTATCACCCGCATGGGACATCGACAAGGGCGATGTGCAACAATTGGTGCATCTCAGCGAGGAGAAAAGCAACAGCCTGTTCAGGTAAATGGATTATATACATTTCAAGCTCGATATATATTGCGATTTGATTACGAAATTCGCCGATACTTCACGTCGTGTGTTCTTTCGTTGTACGACAGGCTGTTTGAAGATTCTCAGCTGAGCATGATCGAGGATGTCGGTGATAACTGTCTCGTAGAATCGGCCCTGGGCAGTTACAATGATGCGAGCGCAGCGCCGCATTATTTGATGCTGAACAAACAGAACTCCTTCGAGCACGACGAGAGTCTTGGTATACTGACGCCGGACCAGATGACCGATTTCACGGTGGCGTTGGAATGCTCCAGGACACCATCCTGCGAGAATCTCACCGGCTCGGCCGGCTCGAAATTGGCGTTGACCCGAGCGTCCGCTTCGACGAGACCGCTGGTGGACGTGGAAGGACCCGCGGAGGAGGGCTGTACCGAGCGAACCCCCTCGCCGGAAGAATTACCGCTCGATCCGAAACCCGTAGAGCCGATCAGGGGTAATACCGTTCCGGTGAGCTTCGTCACATCGGTCACGAGCATCACCAGTCTCGAGGCGGGCTACCAAGGAGACGGCGAGAATTCGAGGCCGGCCAGCCGCGGCGCGGATCCGCCATCCATGGCAGTGCCGCCGGTCAATCTTCCCGCGCCCTGCCGGCAGGATCCGATGACCGACTCGGACTTCTTCACCGAGAGCGACGCGGACGCGCACGAGGAGATTGTGCGGGGCGACAGGAAGGCACAGGTGATCGACGGCACGCTGTTTTGTGCACCGGGCGAACGCGTATGCCCCAGTTTTACCGGGGAAGAAATGGATTCGAGCGGAATTTACTCGGATTTGGATAAACTGCAGGCGCCTGGCGAGCAGGCGCCGGAAGAGAACGATGATCACACCCCCGATACCGGAGACACCGAGCTCTCCCAGAGGAGCCAACCCTCGCCCATTGTGGCGAACATTATCATGGATTATTTACAGGTACGTTAACGTGGAGGCGAGACTTGGTTATTTCGAAGAAATGCCTAGAATTTTATAAAACTAATTTTGTTTCCGCAGCAAGGCGCAAAAGCGTCAGATGAAACGAGCAACGCGACCGACACGACAGCCTCTGTCGAAGTCACGGCGATCGAGAAAGTCGAGAAGAACGAAAACATCAGGCCCAAACCGCAGAGCAAAACCGATACGATGCCTTTGAAAAAATATAAAATGCCGAAGAGAAACGTTGTCTCGAAGATCAAGGCGATGATCGAGTCGTCTTCGAAAGACGACGCGGAAAAGGAGGCGAGACGCTCTCAGAGGTCAACCAGAAAGGGCGGACGCTGGGACGCCGTGATGAATAAGATAGAGGCTGGTAAAAATGAGCAGAGAACGAGATCAGTTAGGAAGGAAGTGAAATCAAGGGTATTGCAGAACCTTACTTTGTCACCTTCCACGAGGCCAACGTCGAAGAAAGCCGGCGACGCGAACAACAATAATAATAAGGATAAACGGTGAGTCTGAATAAAGCGCAATATAATGCACATATCTTTATCAATGCACGATTTTTTTTATACTAATATAACTTTGGTGATTCATTCTAAATATATACGTATGTGATATCGAGCGATGACAAAAGCGCATTTTTTTTATATCATAAATTACCTTGATAATATTTTTATTCTTAAAAATTAAATAAATTAAAAAATGTATGATAATTATGAAATAATTAAATTAAATAACATAAAAAATATTTTTATCTTAGGAGGCTGCGTGGCTGGCAAGAGATAAAATCACCGACGCAGGAAACGGCCAGGAGTTCTGTTCGCAGTTCCATGAGCGATCTCAGTAGTGGCCCGAGTAAGGATATGCCAAGTAAGTTGCATCGATATCTGTACTTGAAGAATTCGAAAGAATATGCTAAGTCACATAGATGAAGATTTATATTAAAATTATATTTATTGAAAGAACTTTTAAACATAAATTAATATACAAGATAGGTGAGGTTTTATCTCGTATGTGACTTATCATATTGTTGGCACTTTATTTGTATTCGGGAAAAATAGACACACAACGCTGTTTTGTATAAACTTTATTCATAAATGTGTGTCTATTTTTCCCGAATACAAATAAAGCGCCAACAATATGATAAGTCACATACGAGATAAAACTTTACCCATCTTGTATATTAATTTATGTTTAAAAGTTCTTTCAATAAATATAATTTTAATATAAGTCTTCATCTGTGTGACTTAGCATATTCTTCCGAAATATATTTTTGACGGCTATTGAATGACATTGACATGTTTTCGCAATAGTATAAAGCGATCTTAAAATCCAAACGAATCAAAAATGCAAAATTGACAGAGCTCGACTTTGTCTCGCATTAAAGTTACTCGGTGCGAACGATGAATTGAACAGCGTGATCTCACGGAATATTCGAACTAATTCGGAAAGCGCAAAATCGCTCCTTGAAGTCCATTGCTGTCAAGGGTCATTGTTTTATCCCGAGACGAGGACACACGTCAGGAGAAGAGATCTCCGAATCCTTCGCACGTGTCGCTTACCTACCGGAGAGAAAGGCGCGAGGTCTCCTTATCGACCCGAGAGTAAAAGCTCTCGGGGTCCGTCGAGGACGCCGAGGAACTTTATTGCCCCTTTTGCCGGCGCCAATGGGGAACACGAGGCGTCATTTTGCTTCCACTGTACGTGCACTGTAGTAAGAGGAAGCTGCGTCGAGCCGGCGCGCAGCTTCGCCGCAGTCGCATCCAACATCCACCATCCGGTCGGCAGTCCTCGGCGGGTCTCGTGCTAGGTCGTACACTTGTGTGCACGTGTGTACACACCGCGTATAGGACGTACCACGTTATACACGTATACACGTGGTACGTGTGTACGCCGTATGTGTATATCTCCGATGCATTTAGCCGTCTCTCCACCGTCGGTCCTTCTCTCGCGAGAGACGCGCACCTATCGTTCCTCGCTCTTGCGCGTAAAATCGGGTCACCGGATAGTGTGTGGCGATGCGTAAGGAAACCCATACGCGCGGGGGAGAGAGAAAGAGAGAGAGAGATAGAGTGAGAAGGGACAGTCGCTGACAGCCGATGTCTCGTTAGCGAACGAGTTACCGGAGTGCGCTCGGCACATCCAGGCGGTGGCCCGGACGGAATTGACTATCTCGTTTCGATTCCCGTGTGGTGACACCTCCGACACCGGACTACGATTTCGCTTCCGATTGTGACTGTTTTCCGATAACGCGGTTGTGCGCGAGGACAGAAACACCTTCCGAAGGCCTCGCCTCTTCCCTGACCTATTTTCCCCGTTACGTTCCTCTGGCCTCAGCTCCTCGCGAGTGCGCGCGAGCACGTGCGTGCGAATTATGCGTGTGTGAAAGCCTGTCTGCAAAAAATCGCCCGAATTTTACGAATTTCAATTACAAACTTGATCTCCTATAAAGTTCGATCTGTCATCTCGCGCGACGATCTCCTCGGACTCCATCCCCCACCTGTCGCACGGGGGATTGACGTCCCCGTTACACGGCCGGAGAGTTGATAGCTTGCGTGGCCATGCCATGTTGGTCCCGCCGCCGCGAACGGTAACACGCGCGTGGTGGTGCCTGTGCAAGGTACGTGTGTAACCGGGCCGGCCCGCACCGTGCCGTCCACCTGCAGATCCGTCTAGATTCGCAATATCCGCCTTAACGGCACGCCGCGGCGACCGGTCGACAGCTGCACGGGTCAACGCCACTCGACGGCGTTATTTCCGGCGGCCACCTCGGACCCCCCCTTTCGTCGTGCTCCCTTTGCATCTCCGCGACTCGCGATGCATCGTCGCCGTGCACCTCCGTCGCTCGGCGAGGATGCCTGCCACCCTTCTTCGCCACCCGTCTTCCCATCCCCACCTTCGTCAGCGGCAGTGGCAGCGGCAGCAGAAGCAGGTGTACCCGACCGAGCGACGACCACGTGCGTTGCCAAGGTCGACGACTGTCGGTACGCGACTACCGGTCCCGCGATCCGCCCCGCGCGGCCTTACGCAATCGCCGTCGGAATCGGCAGCAGCCGCTGAGCCCACGCACGCGAACGGGCCCTTATTAGCGAACGATCCGAGCGAAGAAAATCGCGGATCGAACGTCGGAATTCGCTCGCGAATTCGCGCGGTGGAACGTGGTGCAACTCGCCGGGATATGCCGGGAGGTACGGCGCAGCGCGCGGCGTTATAGACTCGCGACGATTCGCGCGTGATTCGCAGTGTGACATAACGCAGAGCGCGATACGCGGTCCGCCCGCGGATCGCGGTGTCGGGTGTCCGGAACGGGATACCGCGTGGGATACGGCGATACGCGATCACTGGCTACAATATAATCGCGGCGGCCTGCTCTCGCGTGAGATTCCGAAGGAGAACGGCGCGTCGCGATCGATCGGCATCGGCGCCGGCGGCGGCGGCGGCGACGGCGGCGGCAAGTTGTAAGCGGCAGCGGCAGGCTCAGAGAGGCGGAAGATACCCGTTGTATACCGTTGTACATGTTGATGAACAACGTCGACGTGACGGCGGCCGGCATACACACGTACCTCGACTGTGATTCTCACGCTCGGCTCGCGGGATACAATCGCGCGGCAGGAGGATGAAGGTGGCACGCGCGGGGCCAGTCGCGCCGCCGTCGACGGGGATCACGGTCGATCTCGCTTAACGGATTATAATGGTTAAATGGTGAACGGAAGGCGCACAGAGACGAGATGGGCCAACAAGGATCGAAGGACAAAACCCTCCCGAGGAGGACGGACTTCGCCCGGGACTCGACGAGGATGCGTCTGGGCAGCTTCAAACGAGGTAGAAAGGATATTAGCATTTGGCGATCGCGCATAACGGTCATCCTTCCGGTTGTGTGTATCGCGCGCGCGCGCGATAGAAGCGGCTCTGTCGACCATCGCTTGCTGTTTTCTTCGGCCCGTGGTTTAATCGCTCGATCCCGTTTTCCCCTCCCGCGCGGATATCATTTAATCTGTATATCCTCTCCGTGAGATCCCGCGCGCATTATCCACGTCGCAGCATGTTTCTCACGTCGCGACGTTTCTCGTCATTTATTTCCAGAGAGATCACCGACGTCCGCGAACCCGCCCCGGAGATTCGTCTCGAACGGCCACGTCAATCACCATCAGGTCCGCGTCAACAGTTTCGACGCGAAGAAGAACTGCATCGACGTGGCGGCGGTGGAACTCGGTAAATATACAGCTCGCCCCGTCCTGTCATTCGTGATTATTAGGTAACTACACGGCCGTGTAACGCGCGCGTTTGTACGCTTCGGTATGATAATCAGGAGAAGGGAGGACGCGGACGCGGCGGAGGAACGAGAGCACCGTCGCGTATTTCCGGCTGGGGCACCGCTGCCGTGACGAGCGACGATGAAAGGAGAATGATAGAGAGAGAGAGAGAAAGAGAGAGCGAGTCTCTCCGGGACTTGGCCAACCAACGTTCACCGGTTCGCGATTCGCGAAACGACGCGTGTTAGAGTGTGCAATAAAGTAGCACGCGTATTAGAATATATTTTCGCGAAAATTTCTCTCCCGGGAGAGAACCTTTTTCCTCCCTATTCCGGTAGATAGGAAAAGGCGCCTGCAATCGTCGTTACGGTTATGTTGACAAAGTCTACTCGTGGCTTTTCACCTTGCTACTTCCCTCCCCCCCCCCCCTCTCCTCCCGGACGCATGGCGAAGCTAGGAGAAATTCTCTGAAAGGTCTACCGCTCGACGCGATGAATATTCATGTCAAACGGACGTTTCAGGGCCACCTTTTCGTGCAGAGACTAAAGGGGACTTCGATCAAACTTAATCAGCCATTAACTTATTAAATAATACCTGTACCATTTTACTAACGTGAATGGAATTAATATTTTTTGTTGTTTAATATGAGAAAAAATTATAAATCAAGGACGGCGAATTGTATAGTTCGAAATTTTGCAGCGAGAAACTTATCAAGTAATACCTGCATTATTTTGTTAACGCGGATGAGATCAGTTTTTTTCGTTGCTTAACATTTGAAAACATTAAATCAGGGACACGAATTATATATAGTTAATTATTAACTATATATACATTTAGAAATTTTGCAGCAAGCGATTCTGCTAATTCAATTAATCGTTGTTTCCTCAAAATCATCTGTAATAATTTTGCTACTTATGTTAATCATAATAATAATAATAATCTAAGCCGGTTGCTGAGTAGTTGGTGTCGTGCGTTAAATCGTCTAAATTTATTACAAACGTTTTGGGCAAAATACAATAATAACACGCGATAGGAAAAAAGACCTTGGATAGAATAAACGTTCGTACTTTATACTTGAACTTCAATCTCGCACGGACGATAAAACGGTTCTCGCCGTACGGTACCCGGGTACGCTCGCCCGGCAGTACTCGCGGGGCTCCGAGTGCTGTGGTTTAGTGTTTAACATGCTCTCGTTAACGCAACACATTCTCTTTACAGAGAAGAGCCCGCCAGTGGCGCGAAAGCCAGCAATAACGAGGAGATTAGCGGCCAACGCCACCGTGAAACAGAAATCCTCCGTGGCGTCGATAAAAGGTACGTTTCGATTCCACCATCGCGGATCTTCCTCTCGCGGAATCCTTCTTTTCTCCTTGTCGTCGTCGTCGGCGAGTTTCACCGCGGTGTACGGTCACGAGATTACTCGACGTCCATCCGTCAAGACTTTGTCATTTTGCGAAACGGACAGTCAGTCAGTCTCTCGTTGTTTTGCAAAAGGACAACAAACAAGATAGAGCGAGAATTCATGCTCCGCGCGTTGTGCTTTCCAATCCATTAGTCGTGCCACTTTAATGGCAGCCAGTTTCTAAAAAAGTTCCCACGTTTATTCTGCGATGCACGCACGCACGCACGCACGCACGCATACGCGCGCGCACAAGCGCGCGGTCAAGCGCATTAAATTCGCCCGGTGCAGTAAAACGCATCGCACGCGCTCGCCCGTGCGTCCGGACAGGCGAGTCGCGCGATGTGTTGTCCTCGCTCGCGCGTATTGTATAGTACGCATATACACGCGTGTCCCTCCCCGCGCGCGCACACACGAGTTCTTTGCCGGTTCGATGAAAGTCACGGCTTTCACCCTATATAGTTCCGAGCACTAAAAGTCAAGCCTGTTTGCTCGGTGCTTTCCTTTCGAAACTCCGTCAAAAATTCACTCCGACCTAGACTATCTCGGCCGATACTGGAACGAGGGAGAGAGGGAATCGCTGTCGGAGAGATAACCGGCCGTTTTGTCCTAAATAGTAACGGGATGGCGAAAGCGGTGTTCCGCGTATATTCAGGTCTCCGTGTCCGCGAAGCGGAAAGGTACCGCTGAAAGGATGCGTTGTTTCAAGGGCTAAATCGATCGCGTTCGCCGCTCACGCGCTCTCGATACTCATCGCGGTCGTATCCTGAACACAAAAGAGACGTTATATGTACGACCGTCGCGATTCGCGATTGCCCGACGACCGTAAGTAAGCGCGAACACGCGCGCGCCGTCTTGTTCCATCTAAGGACCGGCCGATTCCAAATCGGAGAACTCGGAGTTGCTCGACGCATGCACATACGCCGGGCGGTTTTGGCGTTCAGAAACGCCGGAAGTACAGTACGATCGTCATCGGAGGGACTTTACTGTGCGACGAGTGGTGACTCTCAAAAGCCGCGAACCCAGTGAGGTTTATACGTTTCTCGAAGGAAAGATCTTTTAGGGAAAGCCGCGTCTCTCCTGCGAAAAGGATCCTCCCGCGAAGAAGATGGGGTTCCTATCGTCTTCGCTCGCTGGTCCTGACGGTTCCACCTTGCGCGACAGGAGAGTGTTTAGGAAGACGGCAAGGCGATGGAACGGACGTGGGGTGGGAGGCATATAGCTCTCCGAGGTGGCCCGTGGCTCGTGCTAATTCAGTCGAAGTGCGAACTCGGCCAATAGATTGTTATACGAATGGCGATCCTGATTGGAATCGATCATAAGTCTATCAGCAAGCCGACTATTCTTCGCCGATGAATGTCTCGTTCGAATGTCGCGTTCATTGTAGAATCCGACCGTCGAAGGATAATCGTCGAAACCGACGTAACGGATCTGTTTACGTCGCGCGCGTTTCTTTTGCCCGCGACACACTACGTAGACGTAGAACGTCCGTTCCCAAAATACTTGAATTTTTCTGACGGATGACGTGTGACGGTGGGGAGACGAGGCAGCAGGTGCCAGGAGAGACGTGTAGGAAGCGAATTTTCTTGGCCGCGGGGCTCGCCAACGGCGCTCGCCGAGACGTCTTTTGGCAGTTTCGCAACTGGAACTGCGCGTCGAAATTGGATCGACCTTAACCCGGTGTCTCTTCATTGAGCTGCGAACTTGAACAATGGTCGCACGTTTCGGTTACTCCGGAGAGGAAAAAGAGGCGAGAAAAAAAAAGTTGGTTTCACGTGCAAGTTTCGGAATGCGCGAGACGTAAACGTGGGAATACTATCGTTTAGACACGTTGTTAAAACAGTTGTACCAGTTCGTTCAATGACTTTCCCATGTGCCGCTCGCTCTCTGACTTTCTCATGTGTGTGCGCGCGCGCGCGCGCGTGTCATGTGTCAAGTTGATGCGGAGTTGACATCGGCGGCCGGACTCGACCGAGATTCAGAACGAATGCTTTGACTTTCCAAGTTCTTTCTTTCCTGACGAGCTCTCTTTGTGACACGGGATATTTCCCGTGTGTTTATAAGGCACTTTCGACAGCGTCGAGCGGGGAACGAGCGCAAACGATTTATCACAGTCGGGATTACGCACTGACCTCCCCGCAATGATCCCGGGTGGTTGCGAACGAGGATAGAGGGTAATAAGGACAGCGTGGCGCGTCCACGTATATTACGTGCGATCAAGGCACTTATGTAGATTGATGGCACGTGGGTCGAGTCATTGATACAGACAGGGGTGGGGGGGGGGGGTCAGTCTGGCCCGACGACGACGCCCCGCGTGCGCGATTTTCGGGAACAGCCGATCGAGACAACTGATGCACCTCTCGATGACGACGCTGATTACAGATCGTGAGTCCAAGGAGACTCACCACAACACCACCTACACGGTGTCGACGGCGAGGACGTCGCCGGAGACGCGAGATCAGGCCGCGCAGACCACCGTGCCCTACGTGGACTTCCGCGTGGAGCAAGCGGAACGGGCCGCACAGGCGCTCGCCGTGAGCGTGCACTACTTGGCGTTCGAGGTACGTGGTTTTACGCTTCTATTATCGTACATGCTTAACGGAAGGAGAAAGAGAAATCCGTTACGAATCAGATGGCATAACCGCGAGATCGTGTGTGGCTTTCAGCTGGACGCGTTTGCCACTCCCAAACTGAAGAAGGATTTCGAGAAGTTGAAGGCCGATTGCAAGGAGATGAAGAACGAGCGGTCGGCGCTGCTTTCGGAAATCGACGTTTTACGCGCGAGTTGCGTCAGCATGGAGGACAGACTCGAGGCGGAGAGGGAGGACCACAGTAAAGCTCTGGACCAGCTTCGCGACGAGTGTAAGTCTTATATAATATATCTGTTTATTTTCCTCGGATCTCTCTCGCGCGCGGGCTGTATATATACACTCTCGAGAACTCGGCGCGATGACGCAGTTCGTGGATGAAAAACGAGACTCCCGAGCTCTTCGCGGCGAAACGAATGGGAAACTGTATCTTTCAGCAGACACGAAGCGTCGTCACTATCCCAGTGGATATTATTCTTCGTGTTACTCACGTAGTAAACGAGTTATAATCGTCCTAATGTCGGTGCACGACTGCACGCCTGCACGAAGTGGAACAATTATTAATTAAATTGAACGTTTCAGCAGCGCCTACGCACAATTCGAATCTTTGAGATTAATCCCTAACAATGTGCCTCTCGCCCTTTTCCTTTTTTTGCTAGAAGATATTTCGAATCTCTTTTGCCGAAGGATTTGGTTCTTAATTTAGTTCTCACGTAACGTTCGACGTTTCGATAGCCGCTAATTATAGATTAAATGTGTGCTCTCCGTTTAAGTTTTGTATACAGTTTTGCTTTTCAACTCAGGGCCCCAATATACCGCAACAAAATATATTTATATTAAATTATAAAATTGAAATCACACATTTATTTAAATTTATTTATTTATTAACGAGAAAGTTCTTTTTCGATGCAACGTTTGAACGTATTGAAAGTGCAAAATAAACACCAGCAGACGATTTTAAAATAAGAGATAGTGAGTTAAAAATAAAAAGAGATTAAGTTAAAAATAAAAAAAGGGTAAGAAAACAAAAGTAAAAATATACAACTAGTATCAAATATATAAAGAAATAATATTATGTGTATTAAAATACAAATTAATATACATTTAAATAACAGAAAGTTGACTGGATATAGAATAAATTATTTATTTGCTAATGTATACGAAAATAAATACGTGTAAATTTTCCACATGAAATACGTTGATTAGATACGATAATTAAGATTATAAATACCAGTTTGCTGTTTGAAAGTGAAAGACTCAAGTTAACATTCTGGTTTTCCAGTGGAAGCTCATAGGGCGAAACAGGTTGCTGCGCTCGTCGAAACTCTGAAAGAGGAAAGGCACAAGTACGACGTCAGGCTGGACGATGTTACGAGGGAACATCGCGCGACAATTGCGAAATTACGCGCCGAGCAGATCAATGAGCTGGCCCGCAAAGAGGAGATGAGAAAATCCGTGGTTCACGATCAGGGTGCCGCGCTGATGGCGGAGATCGAGTCGCTGAGATCCGTGCTCGAGCTAAAGAGTCAGGAGAACACGGCCCTCCGATCGGAGCTGGACAGTTACAGGCGCGACATCGAGGAGAAGGACGCCCTGCAGATGCGGCTCGATATGGCGGAGGCCAGATGCGAGGACCTGAAGGCTCAGCTTCAGCGGAAGGACTCCTTCGAACGGCAGATCTCACACGAGAACGAGATGCTTCACGAGTCGATTCATCAAGTCTCGAAGCACAACAAACGGCTGTCGCAGCGGAATGAGGAGCTACAGTGGAAGCTGCGAAACAAGAACGACTGGGTGAATCACGTTCTTGCGAATCAGCTTAATCCACGGTTATCTCGGTCCGCGGGCGCGGAGCAAATGGAGCACAGCTATTCGCTCGACAAGAACGGCGCTCATTCGTCGTCGATGGTGAAGTTCCTGGTCACGAAGGACGCCTCCGTCTCTTGGACGCTGGAAATCGACGACTTGTCGCAGGGGACGTCCGATTCGCTTAGCACATTGCCGAAAGTGGCCAGGTCCTCCGAGGGCGCGACGACGGTTTCTAGGCAAGGATCGCTCCGGTTGACGCCGAACGCTCGACCTGCCATGGACACCAGAGCGAGATCGAAAAGTATCTCCACCACGTGCGATTCGGCGCGGACCGCGGCGGCAGTGGAGGAGGCGGCGGCGGCGGCCGCGTGGTCGCCTTCGTTCAGCTCGACGCCGATCTCGCTGCGACGTCCTAGGAAGGACCAGTCGTCACCTTCCTCGTCGTCGTCCTCATCGTCTTCCACGTCGTCCACGGCGAATTCCGCAGTGGCCGCCGCGGTGGCGGCCGCTGCGGCTGCGGCGGCAGCGGCGGCGGACGATTGCAACGTCGGCGGCGGTCAGAGACCCCAGGAGGCCGGCGGGGAAGCGATGATTTCCGAAGAAACGTCGGCGTCCAGCAGCGAGGACGAGTCGTCCACCGGCAGCGATATCCCCCGGCTGGGGATACAGTTTCCTTGGGGCAAGCCGATCAAGTAACACCCGAGCGAACAATCGCGGCCCGCTATCACCTGTCTGCGCGTTCCTTCTCCCGCGTAAACAGTGTGCTGTCTCGAATTTTTTTCACACCGGCCGCTGTCTCTGTTCTCTTGCCTACAGTGGAGTCGTTCCCCGACGTGCATTCGTTGCGGATCTTCGTTGATCATTCCCCCCTTCGTCTGTTTGCAGATACGTTTACGTTTCGTATGTGTGAGTGTGTGTATGTGCGTGTGTGTAACGCCGGCACTGCGCCTCTTTCATTTTTCCTTTTCCAACCGCGAGTACATCCGGCCGAGGTCCAGAGCGAGAGAAGTGGCGTTTTAAAGCAAACGTGCCGCGCGATCAAAAACACACGATTCACGCGATTCCGGAGTATTAACGTTGTAAGTTAGTGAGATGTTTAAGGATGAATTCCACGATGTATTTTAATGTTACGACTGTATAAATTATAGACTAGTACGATTGTTTCCGTGGTTTTTCCAGTTACGAGGACGTTTCATCTTCCCCCGACACACGTTTCGCATTGCGGAGTTAAGCGAGTTTATCGCGTGGATTTAAGATTAGTATCTTTGAAATCCAATTACGTAATGATTTTCCGAATGTGCATACAACGAAACTGCTTCGTTTGCTGTAATCAAGGCAACCGTGCCTTTCTTTCGAATCTTCGCCTACAAAGTTTCATCGGCGTGCAGAGTCACGCGAGATTTTTCATTTTCGTTTCTTTTTTTTTTGGTCGTTTTCTTTTTCAACTTTGTTGACAGACATTGAAAAAGGGAAGTTTCAATGTTGTTTCTGGCTGAACAGTTTTTATTGCGATCCTTCTGAGAATTTTTACCGGATTTCCGGACACTTTTACAATTACGTGAGCACGTTTTTTATAAGCGTCACGCATCTACTTTTTTGTTTTTGGTACAGAGACCACGTAGTATTGCGGAGAGATTAAATATATAGATAATATATAAGTGAAGCATGTGACAAAAGAAAAATATTCCTCGTTCCTCGCGATCATGCCGATTTTTCGTACTTGTAAGTCGATTCTTTTTCAGATGATGCGCGACAGTCGTCTCTTGCGTTTTCCGTTTGTTACGTTCTCGGGAAAGAGAGATAGAAGAAGAAGAAAAAAAAAGAGAATTTGATTTGCCGACCCGTTGCCGGCACTTCGGACGGCGTTCGTAACGCGCTCTTCGCGTGCAACGACGATCGAATCCGCGGACGATCTACCCTGGTAGATGCAGCAGCAGCGCAGTGATAACCGTTAGCGACAAACTTGTAGCCACGTTCCGACGAGAGCGTTAATTTTACAGTCCGTTCCATAGAACAAAAGTGGTAGCTTTTAGATTATAATGAAAGAGAGAGAGAGAGAAAGAGAGAACGTCGCGCGTGCGCGCGCGCCCGACATACGGAAGCCAAGTATTACCGAGAAAGTATGTTTTCTTTTCTCATGTGTGCTGATAAGATCGATGTATTATATACTTCTCGAATAAATAAGTATCATCTAAATTGTAGAGCAATCTGGGGGAGATTTCCGTTTGCCTCTACCGCTATACGATTAGTCGAGGAGTAAGGAGTTCTCATACGTACTTCGCAGTTCGACTCGATTTTACTAGACTAGATCCCAATTTCCAGCTGCATTTAAAATATATTCAGTTCGATAGAAAAATGTTTGTATTCAATTTGGTGAGCATTTATGTCATGGAATTGATCGGCAGAGAATCGTGAGAATTTAACGCGGAGATATTTTTGCGGATAACGAATGTACGGAATCGTAAGTCTTTTGAATTATGTGATTGCTTGATTTAAAATTTAACTCGCGCAAGTAGGAGATACAATTAGACTGTTGAAATCATTAATTAGATCATCTCTTGTTGATTGCACTACTGTGATGTCGTTTTTGTTTGAAAATTATAATAAAGGTTTTGTTATGCAAGTCGCACGCGTTACCTCATTTTTTTTCCCGCGATGCTCAAAGCGCAGAGATGTCTTCACAATTTAAATTTTTGTTATCACGAAGAAATAAAGTGAATACAGGAGATTGTATGAATCGAGATGGCATTTAAAATTTTGTTGCGGCCATCGTATATGAGTTTATTAAAATCGCTCTCTTTTTTTGTATAATGTATATCAAGATTATGCTTTTTAAAAGCGGATTACAAGTACTTGTATTTGTTTTAAATATTTTTATTAGTAAAGTATTACATTGTAATTATTATTAACACTGGCGCAAAAAAATTCAAAACGTACACGTTCTATTACAGCAGGTTGACTTAATTGTAAAATATACGCTTGAAAGTTTAAAAACGATGTTGGCAGCTCTATATTGATTATCTTAAATCTTATGGTTTTAATATGTCATCCGCAGTCAATAAAATGATTATATAGCATTGTATTTGAGATAATCTTAAAAATTTGAATCTGCATGGTGAAATTCCTTGGTGTCTATATATAAATTTTCTTCTCTCGCGGCCAGATGTGGATTTTCAAAATCTGTTTACGCGAAATCGAGCTTGAAATCTCGGACGAGGGAAGAATTGACAACAAATTCGCATTTGAATGATTCGAGAAATAATTCGACTGGACTGATCGATGCGATTCCGATTGGTCGATTTTTTTCTCCCCGTCCGGGGAGTGTCTCGCGGATGTTTTTCCCGCATCGTGGACACGGGGCTTGAGGACCCGTCGCCCGCCGCCGGTGGGTTCGCGAACGCTCCGTCAGCCGCACCATCTACGTACGATACGATGGCCGCGACAGTCGATGGCCCCGATACACCTCGCGGTTGTGGTTACCTTAATTTATTGACAAAAATGTAACGCCTCTATTTTTAATTGGCCATGCTACCGCCGCGCACGGCATGACAATCGCCCCGACCGCGTTCATGTTATTCCCGTTTCTATAAATACTTGCGCGCGTGCTCCTCACTCACGGATCTCCGGGTCTCTTTGACATCGACGCGAAGATGTCTTCTAAGAGGTATTATCCCGATTTGTTTTCACTCCGCGTCTTCCTTTTTCTCTCTCTCTCCCCTTCCCTCTCTCCCTTCATCCTTTTTCACGTTTCGACAACGACAAAAGCCGGGGACCGACTGTCTTTGGGATCATTTATTTATAGCGGCGAAACGGAGCGCGGCTCTCCTCCGGCGATTCTCGGCTCCCCGACGACTGGGCCTCCCCTCCCTCCCTCCTGCCCCCCCGGACTCTTTGTCCCTTTGTTAACCTGCAATCACGAACGATTTGTTTATCACGTTGCAACTCCTTCTTTGAAACTCCCTCGTGTCCCGACGAAGCAACTCCGTTTCGAGTCGCAGATTTTTCATCGTCCTAAACCGATGCAAAGTAAATAAATACCACCCCCGACTGACAGACGAACTTGATTCACCGAGATTTCGAGTCATTCCAGCTAAGAATAAGTCTCGTGCAAAAGAATCTTTCGTCCCCCCTAGCGACGCGGACGCGTGACATTTGTTTCAGATATGCGTACATTTTTATTGTTATGTTTTTAGCGAATTGAAAAAGTTATCGGAAGAAAGTCTGACGAGACAGCCGGAAGAGGTTTTCGATGTTATATGCAAGCTGGGAGAAGGGTAAATTTTCTATTTTTATTACTGGCAAGAGGCAGACTCCTTTTTTACTGTTTCTAACTGTGTGCTTTGTTCGGTGCAGGTCCTATGGATCAGTTTACAAAGCGTTGCACAAGGAAAGCGGACAGGTGCTGGCTATTAAGCAAGTGCCAGTGGACACCGACCTACAGGAGATTATTAAGGAAATATCAATTATGCAGCAATGCGACTCTCCATATGTTGTTAAATATTATGGAAGTTACTTTAAGAATACGGATTTATGGGTAAGTCGATGTACGGTGCTGAGTTTAGTCCGACGTTCCAAACAAGCCGGACGATTCATCGATGCCGTTGTAACTTGCAGATCGTGATGGAGTACTGTGGAGCTGGTTCTGTTAGTGATATCATGAGGTTAAGAAAGAAGACCCTCCAGGAGGATGAAATCGCAACGATCCTGAGTGATACCCTAAAGGGACTGGAGTACCTTCACTTGAGAAGGAAAATTCATAGGGACATTAAGGCTGGGAATATCCTTCTCAATAACGAGGGCCATGCAAAGTTGGCTGATTTTGGTGTGGCGGGTCAATTAACGGTGAGTTGACAAAGATAAAGAGCTTTTAGGCTGAGATGAAAAAAAAGTCTAAATTGGATTCCTCGGAACAGGATACCATGGCTAAACGTAACACAGTCATTGGTACACCATTCTGGATGGCGCCAGAGGTAATACAGGAGATCGGCTACGATTGTGTGGCCGACATATGGTCTCTGGGAATAACGGCCCTAGAAATGGCCGAGGGCAAGCCGCCGTACGGCGACATACATCCGATGAGAGCAATATTTATGATTCCGACTAAACCACCGCCTAGTTTTAGAGAACCTGACCAGTGGAGTCCAGAGTTTATCGACTTTGTCAGTGGGTGCCTTGTAAAAAATCCCGAAGAGAGAGCCACTGCAACCGAGCTTTTGCAGCACGAGTTCATAGGTGAGTAAAAGATTTAATTTTATATTATTATATTTTATATCTACATTATATTTCATGTATCAGTATAAACTTATTGATATTTTTACAAGTTTGTATGTGTCGTGTGATTGCAGGTAATGCCAAACAGCCGAGTATTTTGAGTCAAATGATCGCCGAAGCTCATGAAATACGAGAGAAGCAGAGCGCGCATAGAGCTCACGTTATAAACAACGTGGCGATTAAAAGTCAAAATCAGGCAGAAGATTCGGTAAGTATTTAAAATTAGTTTGTACACGAATAATATCAAGGGCGTCCGCAGGATTTTTTTTAGAGAGGGCATGATCCAAATTTTTAGTACGAACTACCGCGAGGAGCAAATGTTGTGTACCTGTGTTGTTAACTCTCTCTTATTAAGCTCTCTCACATTTGACAGACATATTTATTATTTGTAAAAATGAGAGCAAATTCTGAATTTTTTTGTACTTGTCTGATTCAAGGGGGAGGGGAGGGGCAAATGCCTCTTTTGCTCTCCCCCCCCTCCTGCGGACACCCATGAATAATGTATGTATAATTCGTATACATAACATTGTTTCTGTTATAAGGACGAGGACGATTGTAGCGGAACTATGAAACCATTACCGGAGGACAGCAGGACTCTAGTGCCGAGTGATCTTCCAGACACGGGTACTTTAGTTTCGGCAATATTGGACTTGGGTACAATGGTTATTAATAGTGATACCGATACCGAAGCCACCATGAAGAGTTAGTGAAATCTTAATTAATCTCCAAATTCCAGAGTAAAAAAGTGATTGTTATTCGCAACTAACTGAATTTTTTTCCAGGACATAACACTGGTTCTGTAGAATCTAGCAAAAAATATCGACCATTATTCTTAGATCACTTTGATAAGAAAGAAGCGCCTGAAATCGGAAAGGTAATCTTTCTCATATTACTTTCTCAATTTGCTCAGGCATGATTTATTTCTATGATATTGATGTCGATATTATTTTATAGGGTAATGGACAGATGTTGGGAGCACACAATATGGAAAATGCGAACAAATTGGAGCAGCAGAGTCCAACCGAATCTCATAGGTTTCAAAGTCATTTGCAACTACAGCTGCAGAATCAGATCTCTCATCACGTGCCAGAACAGCCATATAACAATATATCGAAGTTTCAAAACGTCTTCACGGAACGTGATTTTGATTTTGTGAGTAAAATTTTGTGTCAGCACTCTTTATATTTTACGAATTTTACGTAATTAATGTAATTGGTGCAATATATCTCTGATTATTAACGTAAGAGGAAAGAACGAGATTAATCACTTTGTGCCTTGTAACGATTACGATACAATTCGCGTTCTCTGCACCAAGTGATTTGGAATAATGCCGCTGTAGGCATTATAAAAAACAGCTAACTTGAATATATAGAGAAGCCGTATCCTGCAGTTGAAGTTTCTCTCCTACGAGGAACTGCAGCAACGAATGGCCAGTCTGGACGCGGAAATGGAGCGGGAGATCGACGAGCTGAGAAAGAGGTATCAGACGAAGAGACAGCCTATTCTGGATGCCATGGATACCAAGCGGAAGCGTCAACAGAACTTCTAACAGTCCTCCTTTACGCGAATAAGTGACGACGGATAGACAAAGGGTGTACAATTGTATAAATGAATAGATTTTATTCGCGTCGTCCCCGGTTTCATCAAAGGGAAGAACATTGCTCTCCCACATCGTGAATTGTATTACCTCATAAACGGACAAACGTGTAGCGACTGTGAATGTTTCCTGTTTACTCGCAAATCCACACAATGTCGCTTCTCTTTGTGAATCCCGGGACCATTACAGCTAGCAATAGCTAATAGCCTCACGTCATCAATGTAAATTATTTTACGTGATTTTAGGTGAAGAAACAATCACTATACTTAATTTTTGTATTATGTTTACCTATATATTTACTGTTAAATATATCCTATTCTTATAGAGATATTCTGAGAGACTCCTCTAGGGTCGTTAGAAAATAAAAAGGAATGCAATAGGAGTGTAGGAACAAATGCATTCACGATTACGATCGTTTTTATCGAGAAATTTTTTATATTTACTTGGAAGGAAATCGGTATTTCGTATCGTCGCTACGCTAGTCATTTGTAATGCCATTTTATCCAGGATATAAAAAAAAAATCATTCATATGAAATGCACTTAAACAGCTAAGCAGTTCTTGAGTGTGAATGCTCTTCTATTTAATCATGACAGTTTTGAAATAAGCGAACAAGGCTGTAAGATTTAATTTACTTTTTATTCTACTGCCATAGGTAGACTCTCTCTACTCATTCGTCTACTAACACTAACAACTAACTTTAGTTTATGTCAATTCTCTAAAATAATTATATTTACTTTTCAAGTTTGCAAAACATGTCCAACACCAATATGATGATCGCAATTCTAAAGTAATGAATAGTGTTTTTAAGAGTATGCAGCATCGTGATTAAAAAAAAAAAATGATGCCGCATTCTAATGAGAAAATTCACGAACGAACTTACTAGTATTAGAGTCTTCCGCGCGCCGTATTAGAAAGTATTCTCCAGTATGTTCTAATTTACTTTGTCACGATGTGGAAATTGTTGAAACTGAAATTTATCAGATTCCATCATAACGACAAGGGTATTTTTAGAATGATATAAAGGTTCGCATGGTAATGCCTTACAATAATCATTTTATGTATAAAGCATAAAACAAATTCTCGACCGCATATTTTTTTGTGAAAAAGAAATACATTTGTACGTGCCATTAATACTAATATGGCGAATAATCGTAGTGGAAGAAATAATTCCTTGCTGACGTCTGGGCTATTTTGCAAGTAGTGGAAAATAGAGCTATACTTGAAATGCGCTATAGCCAGAACTGATCTTCAATTTTCTTCTTTTTAGAAAATAATAATAACAGAATAACAACATATTTTTGATATAGAAGGTTGCACATTGTCAATGAAATAAGGGTCCGAATTTGAAGCGTATATTATCCATAATCTTGATACTCTCGCAGAAGTGTAATATTAAGTAAGGTTTTTCAACTGAAAAGGAAATTAAAGTGCTTCACAACAGAGTTATGCTTCAATATCGTTTTATATATACGAAACGCAATAATAAACTGTACATAATTCTTTTAGAGATTTTTTAAAAATAATTTACATGGTCGTTCGATCATTTTCATACATGCGTTAAAATTGTGATGACTTTATTGTATTTTCTCATTTTACAGTTCGTACAATACATCGGCACTTGAGGATAGTTGTAAATTGCATTCTTATATAAAACTATAGGTTTACAAACTTTATATTTTTGCAGCTTATGCTGCTGTAAAATCTTCCTTCTTAAACTTATGACCTGTATCCATTAATTAATGTTCTGCGCTATCCGTTTTAGGATTAAAGAAAAAAAGTAAAACGACAAAAATGTTTACACAATAATGTTACAAAGAAGTACATTTAATGCATTTTCTACACGATTGTCAGTCAGTCATTTAGCATTAGCTAGCAATCACTTTTTCATATACGAAGATTTATAGTTACATATTTCATAAGGCAACGTAATAGTCCATTTTTATTTTTCCATTTGGAGATATGGCTTTATATCCAATCATGACAGTTTTACGACAACACCATGATTTTACATTCGTATTGTGTATTGTACAATCTTTTACAGTGTTTGGGCTGAAATATAGAGACTGAAGGCAAATGTATGTTTTCCGAGTGAATGATTTAGTGAAAACTTATAGTCTAATAATAGAACGTAACAACAACTCATATAAAACGATTGCTATTAATAACATTAAAGCGAGATATTATTATTAATAGTTTTGTTTAAGATAATTACAGAGAGAAGCAAATATTAACATGCTGCCTTTTCAATCATTTTGTTTAACAATAATAAAATATTATACAAACTGTGCGCGTTTGATCTCTTCAGTTTGATTTTTCGTTAACGAGTACGAGCGTATCATTAATACTAACCCTATCATTAAGTACCTTGTGCATGAATATTTTTTGTATATGCAAAATTTTGGTCCAAGTTAATTTCCAATTTATATCAGATCAATTATCATTGGAATTGGACGGTATATAAAAAATTTGTATAAAGAATGTTTTTATAAAAAGTTATCAATAAATATAAATGCATTTTAATCACATACAAAACACACTAAACATGAATCATTCAAGAAAATCTCTCGAGAGCTACCTATCGTTAATTTTTAAATTGGAAATAGTGTCCACGATTTGTAAAATATATCTCAAAATATATTTTTTTTAAAAAGAGCGTTTCGATAAGGCACATATCCTGTTAGTTTTTTTTTATCACTGTGTTTGCACGCTCTTAAAAATTTGTCTCATAAATCGTCGTCTCCTATCATACGAAAAACGTTATTTTCCACGACATCGAGATCCGTTGTCGTTGTCTGAGTCTTATCAGCAACAGCTCTCGAATCATCTGATTTCTTTGACGTCACAGCCGACCATTTGTTAGCAAGTTTCTTTATCATTGGTCCCGATTTAGAATGATTATTATTGGCACATTCGCGCAGCGGCGATCCTGCAATGACACGCGTTTGACCGTCCCTCATAATGTACGTCCACGATTTCCCAGGTTCCGCCTGCAAACGTCGCACAAATATCGTTTACGGACGAGGAGACTTGATTTGAGCATTTAAGTAATCTGAGACAGTTTATATAACAACCTGAATTCTGCTCCCCACTACGCGCTTCTGCAATAACTCGTCAATCATGGCTTGCAGACAAACAGACATTAAAATCGCTTGCTCGGATACAATTGTGATCCATTGCAATTCATTCTTAGCAATTAGATATTCGAAAGATAACTCCAAACTGCACTCGTTGCTGTCCTCGTGATGATCCGTTCCCTATAAACGCATCCATTAATAATAAAATAACGTGTATAATCTATAAACGCAAATTTTCCCATTAAAATATTCATAGAACTCACATTTTGTATAGTAGTGATGCGCCAGCATCGCATTCGCGATACTTTGAACACGACTTCGTGCTCTTCGGACGATAATACGCGTAAATTCAATTCATTTCCACCTATAGCGAGCAATACTTTCGAGCTACGCTCGGGATAATCGCAGTAACACGGTGAAAACTGTACGTAGCCGTAATATTTCAAGTGACGAGCTATATTCAGGTACTGAAATAATAAAGATTCTATAAATTCACTATAAATTACTTGAAAAAAAAAGTTACTATTTCGTTTGTAAACTTACCTCTTTTCTACTCTCGGATTTTTCCAAATTTTCCAATTGACGCTGCACTTCCTTGGCAACCGGAATCCAGCCGCTGTGAATTTCCGCAGCCGCTTGAATGTACAGTAGATTTAACGTTACCGGATCGTTTAATAACTCAACGTCGTACGTTGTGTCCCAGTAATTTTTTCTGAGAACAACTCGCGTACCCATAGAACTCATATACTTGTGCGTTATAAATGGCGATTCAAAATCTTGTAACTTGCGCAATACTGAAATTAAAAAAAAACATATATTAAACGAGAGAAAACCAAATATGTAGATATATTTTAATAAAACGCTATAAGAATATATACACACTTTTGATGCTACCTGGTAACTCATCTTGCATAATAACAAATAGGGCAAAATGGAAGTGATATTTTTCCGCTAACTTTATATGTTTATATACCCTCTGTGGAAAAGAAAGTGTTTTAATAATTGTCACGTCCACGAATCGTTATCGTTTTTATACAAATTAATTATTGGGAATAATATATACCTTTAAAACTTCACCGGAATGCTCTCCCGGCGAAACATTCAACGAAATTTTGGATCCGTTCGTAAGAAAGATATCTAAAGTCTCCTGCTCCGACAGACCGTCCGCAGTTTCTTGTTGAGCACTCAGTAGAAATCCATTTAATATTTCCGAGTTATTTATGGCTATATTTTGACCGATGGACTGGATGTACTTCTCCAGAGCCAGCCGCCGTTCCTCTTGCTGAGTGGCGGTCAAGGGAAAGAACTTCTTCGGAGGAAATATAGGTAACGACATGTTGAGATCCTTCGACAGTTGCACGTGGAGATTGTACAGCTGTTTGTATCTCGCGGTGCAATGAAACAATCCATTGATGTGAATATTATATCCCTGCAATTCAGGCGAGATGTTATTACAAATAAACAAGGAAGCACACAATATGTGCAATGAATAATAAAAAAAAAAAGTATAGATACTCAACGATATATGCATTCCCAGCGCTGTCCATAAATTCCTGAGTGTCCGGTATAGAAAAGTGCATCTTGACGGTACAAAAATATATATGTTGAACGATAAAAATATTGTTATAAAATCACATTCTCGACGCGAAATTTGTCAGCTTCTTGGTATCCACATCAGCGTAGGAAGCATCTGCGAAGGAAGACGAAGTGAAGTTAAACTAAAAGGCAAAACGTAAAGTTTTTCGAATTTTCCGATTTACTGGAACGGAAAAACTACACGCGTGAAATCGACACGTGGGATCCTGCTCGTCGCTATGCGCCGCGCGGTGAGTCACTTCATCTTATTCGCGCCTGCACGGAGCGACGTTCTCGGATGTAAAAGAGGCGATTCAATTCCGCCCACCGGCCGAACGTACATATACGTGTATGTCTCGCACGACCCCGACCCGTACTTTTCTCGGAGAGGAAAATGACCCCGCGCCGAGATCCGGATCTCGCGGCGGAAAGATCGTAGAAAGCGATGCCCTTAATAATCTCGACGCGCCTGCACGGCAGGAGGCCGGCCGCACATTCTATTTCCCGACTCCGGCGAGTGTTCACTGCCGAAACTGCACGCCGTTCACGCGCGTTTCCCACACATACTCACATAATATCGCTGTGCGACTTTCGTCGCGTTCGCGGGACCTCATGCATACGTGACAGCTCACAGCGGCCCTAATCGGTCGCTCACGCCCACTCGCGCGTTACGTTTCACGCGATTATTACTACTGAAGCACTGGCACGCATTTAAATCCCACGACGGCACCGTCGCCGCGGCGATTGCTACACGCCGCCGCGGCGCCCAGAGCGAGAGAACGCGTCATGTCACACACGCGGCACGCGCTCCACGCTCGCGAGCTCGCGCCAGTGAATGACACGCACGTTGCAGCGTGAATGCGGTTAGCGTGTCACGCAGCAGAGGACCGATAGTCTCTTTGCGAGACGCGATGTGTGCTACGAAAATGTTTCACTATTTAGACTATTTAGAGGATACGCGTTTTTCGAAAAAAATCGTCAACATAATCGATAGAATAATGTTCTCGTAGAAAGTATATAGCATTGTAATATCATATATATCAGTATAATATATATGTGCTTTTGAGATTTTCAAACAGACAACAATGTATCGAATAAAAATTGTCTATTCTGTCACGAAAATATATATTCCTTAAGTATATAATTATAATTAAATATAAATAAATAATTATATCTAAATGAAAATTTTAGTTAAAAATAGATGTAATTATTTTAATTTAATCTTCGCCGGAAATATTCGTAATCTGAGAGAGAACATGTGATTTTCGAATGCGCAATTTTTCGAGAATATAAGGCAGTCTTGAAAAGTGGATGTAGCACGGACACGCACCACAAATTGTGTATGTACCCGCGATGCAGAAAAGTGAACGTTGCTAAGTAGTTTACATCCACTTCTTCAGAGGACGTTAGTGCAGGCACGAGGGCATTTTCAGGTTAAGATCGTCAGGCGTCATGTCCTCTCCAGTCCTCTCTCAGGTTTCTCTCTGACGAAGCTTGGTAGAGAGCAAAATCGTTCAACTGAAATAAGTCACTGGACTCCTAGTCTTCCCAGGGAGCAGAGAAACAACAAAAAAACGTGGTACTGAGATTTGGTGAATCTGAAATCCACAGGTATCAAGAAGAAGAACTGAAATAAATCTCGTTAAAATGCTCGCGCTAAAAGACTATGGTAGCAGCGATGAAGGTAGTGAGGGTGATAACGTGGATTTAGCGTCCACGTTTCCCAGTGGAAAGTTCACTGGGCTCCAAATTTGCGCTGCCCCGGAGGTCGTGCCTACCGTAAGTATTCACGTGCAGTATTCGCTCCGTTTTCAATTGCCTCTTTTTGTGGTTATGAACACTTGTGTTATCGCCTCTTTAAAAACGTTCCTTTTGAGACAGAAAGAAATAACCCGTCATTTATACCTTATTCAGGGGACAGAATTGTGTGTAAAACATATAGATCCAATCGCAACGGAAGTTACACATAATCCAAAGTATGAGGAACTCTTTGGGCCCGAGGTGGGACCGGAGAATCCGTTCAAGACGCAGCAGCAGCGCGCGGTCAAAAATATACTGTCTGGATACGTAGAACGGGCGCACATAAGTGAATTCCAGTTTGAAAATCAAAGGAGAACATTTGCCAGTTACGGTATGTATAATATACAACCTTTGGGTATATCCCTTTTACCTGGGTTTAGTTTTCGACATATTCCAGTGTTTTAGGGTCCCACCCTGTGTATATAGAATATATACATATATAATTGAGGATATATTTTTCTATCTTATTAAAATCTGATTTCTTGAAATCATTATTATCTTAAAATTAAGAAGAGAATATTATCTTATACTTTTATTCCAATAATCCATCGAAATATGCTTATTTATATTTGAATATTTGAGATGTTTTAGCTTAAATCAAACAATTATTTAATAGCTAAGTTTCAATTAATATCAAAATTTTTGTTGACAGGATATGCGCTAGATCCAACTGTAGACGGTAGCACGGATGAAGGCAGAATTATGATCGGTGCAACCGAAGCGGCAGAAGAATCAGGCGGTAAGACTGTTTTCGAAAACACCACCCTGAGACCGTCGGACAAACGGAAGAGGCACAGAAACAACGATCCAACGGACATTGAAGGCTTTTTGGGTCCCTGGGGTGGTTATATTGATGAGAAGCGAGTTATCAAGCCAAGCGAGGAGGAAGCTGCTGAATTGGAAGAAATCTTGGCCAAACGAAATAAACGAGGAAAGCAGACGGAGGAGAAGCCGCTCGAGGAGAAGACAGTATTACATAGTAATATCTTCATATATATCATTAACATACTGCAAATATATTAGTGCATGTATTAGTAACAAATTTGCTTTTTTGATACAGAATCACTTTTAGAATTGCATTATCAAATTAAATTTATTAAGATAAAACTTAACGTGAATATTGTTTTAAAATGTACTTGTGATATACTTAATAATATTACGTCATAATTTGTATGAATTAAGAATTACATATATAAGATTTTCAAGCATGAACTAAGATTTACACATATAAGATTTTCAAGCACCAAGATCCGCTTTAGATCGTGTTGGCATTTTTGTATCTCAATTGTTAATCTTATTTTGTTTTATTTTGCAGTCAAAGACAGTGTGGATTATCAAGGACGCTCGTTCTTGCACGCTCCTCAGGATGTAGGCGTGAATCTCAGATCGGAATCGCCACCCGACCGTTGTTTCTTGCCAAAAGCGCAAATTCACACGTGGGAAGGACACACGAAAGGCATCTCGCAAATCCGATGGTTCCCACGCACCGCGCATTTATTACTGTCTTGCAGCATGGATTGTCGCGTGAAGGTATACTCGACGTGACGATTATTTTAACTTAATCTGTTAAACGTATTACTCGTGCAAAGTGTACTATGTTAATCGTCTTATTGTTCACAGTTGTGGGAAGTATACAAAGACAGGAGATGCGTTCGTACGTACTATGGGCATCGACAAGCGGTACGGGACATAAGTTTCGACAACGACGGCAAGCGATTTTTATCAGCGGCTTACGATCGCTATGTGAAACTCTGGGACACAGAAACGGGAGCTTGTATCAGTCGCTTTACGAGTCGAAAGATCCCGTACTGCGCCAAGTTTAATCCCGATCCAGATAAGCAGCACCTCTTCGTAGCTGGTACCAGCGATAAGAAGATTATTTGTGTGAGTAAAAAAATCGACAACGACGTACTGATAAATATTTAAGATTTCCATGATACGAGCGCACAAAAATACTCTCATTTATTCTTGATGAAAAGTGCAACAATCAACGTAAAAATGAAGCATTAATTAATGACATCTTTAATTAAATATTAATAATTGAATATCTGTTACAGTGGGATATACGTTCTGGCGAAATAACGCAAGAATATGATAGACATTTGGGTGCCGTGAATACCATCACATTTGTCGACGAGAATAGGCGATTCGTCACAACTAGCGACGATAAAAGTCTCCGGGTTTGGGAATGGTATGAGTCCATTGATTTCAGTAAAGAGTTATTTTTGAAAAAATGAAGTTGCTCTATTATTAAGAATGAATTGTTTTTTTTTGTGCAGGGACATTCCTGTGGATATGAAATACATAGCTGATCCATCCATGCATTCTATGCCGGCGGTAACGCCGTCGCGAAATCAGAAGTGGCTCGCTTGCCAAAGCATGGATAACAAGATCGTTATATTCTCGGCGTTAAATAGATTCAAAATGAATCGGAAGAAGACGTTCACGGGGCACATGGTCGCGGGATACGCGTGCGGGTTAGACTTTTCGCCAGATATGAGGTAATTTGAATATACAAAAGATAAAGTGTGTACGTTTCTTAAAATATGCAATATCATTTTTTGTTTTATAGGAATTAATTAAGCTTTCAGTAAAATACACGTGTTCTTATTTCAGTTACTTGGTGTCGGGCGATGCAGATGGCAAATGCTACATATGGGACTGGAAGACAACGAAGTTGTACAAAAAGTGGAAGGCGCACGACGGGGTGTGCATTGACGTGTTGTGGCATCCGCATGAGCCTTCTAGACTTGCTACAGCTGGTTGGGATGGCAAGATCAAGTATTGGGACTAAAATGTCCGAGCCGTAAGCCACAGTTGAAGCAACAATTAAAACAACTCGTAAGCCACTTTTTGACAACGGAGATACTTTTTGTAAATAATATTGTATATTTTTTGTAAATAAATATTGATAAAAAAATAAGATTTTTAAACACTTAGATTAATCGATTAATTAATGACATTTCATGAGTGACGAATATGTATAAGCGTTCTTTCATATATTATAGACTACATAACATAAAATATCAAATTATTTTAATTAAAGAAAATCTCTTATTTCTCAATTCTATCTAATTTACCTTCTCGCTAATACCTCATCCTATATTGAATAATCGAATGTATGTGCGGTGAATGCATGTAATCAAGTTTAATTGTTTCAGCAGAGGACTCGTTGCGTTTCTATATACAATTGCGACGGCACACGGCACGCGTGGCGCGCAATACGTACTATTGAATCCCATTATCTGAGCGACACGAATATACCCACCATTATTTAACATACCGCTTCTCTCCAACCCTCCCCGATTACCGGTTGTGTTAGCAACCCTGCTGCTCCGCGGGATGTGGCGTGAAAAATCAATAGTGCGCGCGTCAGTATACAGCCGTACGCTCGTGCGGTCGCTCTCGTATATTTTAGCTCCGGTTGGAAAATCACCCCGAAACAAACGTGCCATCGTGAATCCCTCACCCCTCATGCCGTGCACAGCATCCCGCCCATGAAAGCCCTCGTAAATTGTGAGCGTTATGCGAGCGCCAAGTATTTATCGAGACTGCAGGTAGAAGTGGTGTCTATTACCACGCAATAAAGTGGAAGGTGAGTTTTCTGTTTACATGCACGCGTCGTACACGTCGCAAATCCGGCGTTCATGGAGCATATATCATGTTGCGACTATATCGTCGTTTTGATAAATATATCGATAAAGGATAAATTCTTGATTAAAGAAAATGATTTCACGTATTGAAATAAAAGTGTACGAATTATGTTTTTCGTTCTACAGAAATTTTGTGCTTTAAAAAGATTGAGGGGGAAAAATATACGTTAATAATTTAAAAAAAAAATGTAATATGTAATAATCAAATCATATTTATTGTATTATTAAATTTTTTGACTGTGAAATAAAAGAAATATCGCACAATTGGTATGTTAAGGTATAGGAAAAGGCATTCCTGAAGATGGACGGGCCCGGATTAGGATACTCGTATCATCTCCCATCCGCCGGTTGGAATCTCAAAGTCAGAAATGCATTGTCGCAGTTTAGTGATCTTTTTAGCGAATTTAACAAGTACATCGCACCGGCTTATCATCATGACCGCTGCGAAAGGTACATGATTTCTTTGGAAAATCTCAGAAAATAAAAATTTAATAATAGAGTCTTAGCGCGTAGATGTTGCTTTATTAAATAATATTTGTTCTGAAAGCATCCTATTCAACTTAATTTTAATTCAATTTTCTTTGATTAATGAACGAGTGTGTAGAGACTGTAGAAAAAAAACGAACGGATTTTTTTAAAAATCAATCTTACATAATTTCACGACATTTGTATTTATATGGAATATCGCCATGTGCCCTTTCTTATCACTGAATATATTTCTTATTACTGATTATATTTATTATTAATTTGCATAAATATAATAATAATAATTTGTATAGTAATAATATATATCAGTATATTGTTAATTTAAAATCTCGTGCATTTGCCGTCACAGATCCGTGCAGATGCGATTATACTCGATGCATAAGAGGGAATTTGTCATGGTGTTTGTTGCCTTTTTTGCGTGTTTTGGATTAGCAGTTTTTATCGGCCTCGCCGGTGAGTATCGCGACAATAATATAATATTTCCATTTATTTCAAAATAAAAGAATTCGAGAGCACTATTGCTATTAACCTCGTCAAATAGTGAAAGATCGTTTCGGTAATGCTTTTAAAGGACCGCCTATAACATCGACCAGCGAACAGAAAGCACATTTGAACGGCAGCGAGATGGCCACTGGTCCATTCATCATGAAGACGCCTCTGCTGTCCACGTACAGCCAGCAATTATGGGTGATTGCTAAGTTGTCGACATCGAATAACGACGGTAACGTATGATTTGAACTAATAGATCATTTGAACTAATAGAGAGAAGCGTTTATGGAACGTAAAATTTGTTAGGAAGCAGGATAAAATTGTTCTATATCTATTCATTATGTTCAATGCTATGATAAAATCATTTGGTACCAATTTAAAAATAATCTCTTTCTTTTGGATAAATGTATTTAGTAAGAAATAAAATAGATTATAAATACAAATTTCTTTTAAATTTTTATCTATTAATAATAAAGTTGTCCTTATGGCTACGATTGTGATAACAAAAATTCAGATATATCTGCATTTCAGTCTATTCATTTATTTTATCTATATTTTAGTTTTGTTATTCTCTCGAATATTAATTATGGGCAATGATTTGTAGATGAAAGATACGACAAAGGGTTTCAAGTTAGCGTCTCCATAGACGGTATCACTGCTGATCGCAAGCTTGTGACAGTACTACCCCCGGAAGCTGGACATAATCGGTAAAGATGCAATAAAAATTTTCGAGAATTAAAGTTGAGACATTAAACCAGATTAATTAGTAATGAAATTCTTACATTTTAATGATACGTTTGTTCCTTTAACAACACAACGAAATATTATATTATTAAAAAAGTATTAAAAAAGTGGAGTTTAAATTAATAAACTATTGAATAAAATACATATATATATACAAATTAATACAGATGAATCTTTCGTGAATAATAACATGCGAAATGATGACTATTGTTTTCTAGAACCCGACACTTGAAGTGCGAAAGGCAATCTTGCGAGGAACTGGTCGTCGCTCATCTCGGATTCCTCGATTACAGCTACTACATAATCACCGTCCGCTTCCACGGACTCGAGAGCTTCCATCAGCGTTACACGATACGAGAACTCACATTCTACGTCAGTAAGCACTGCATGAAATGATCACGCTCGTTCAGGACACGACAATTCCGAGACTCGAGTGCCTCGTTTTTTTTTCTTTACGTTTCTCCTATTTTCTCCTGTTCACAGTTTAAGAACTACAACCCGGCGTTCACGCAGATTGAAATCTGGTTCCGACTGATCTTCTTGTTAACGACATTCGGAGTAATGGTAATCCATGATTGCTATAATAACGACAATGCGTAAACAAATGGACGAGTTAAAACGAGGTCGAAGGCTATTCGTTTCTGCGAAATTGAGCGGACGATATTAGATAACGATCGATGTTAAAGAATTGGTTTTGAAATGATGCGTAATTTTATCTTCCTATTATATTACTTTGCGAGTAAATATCGTAAAACAAAGAAGTGTAACTCTTTATTGCATCGTGTTGTTTTCGAGTAACAAATTGAATAAAATACACATATTTCACATTAATTAAATTTGATTAGCTAATCCGCGATCTTGATGATCAAATTTTGCAAAATGATTTTCTATCGATTGCTTTTTAACTCGTTCTTTTTTTGCTACGGATACTTAAAAAGCCTGTTCTAGAAATCAAAAAGAAAAATGTACTGCTTTCAGTGCTGGTTTGGCCATTCGCTGAGAAAGTATCCGCTGCACGATTGGTCGATAGAGCAAAAATGGATCTCTATACTTCTTCCATTACTGATTTTGTACAATAGTAAGTTTCTTTTTCACCAATACGTTTTCATGATTTTTAGCATTTTATTGAATTTATATTTTAATTGAACAGATCCATTGTTCCCTATGACGTTCTTGGTGAACTCCTGGGTACCTGGTATGCTGGACGCAATTCTGCAAACGACTTTCCTGTGCGCTATTCTCATGTTCTGGCTCTGTGTCTACCATGGCCTTAGACAGGTACTGACATCGTTAAAAGAGAAATTAATTGATAATCCTAATTAATACACAAATCTATATTAATAGAAAATTAAATTACTTGGTTAATTAACCACATTATTTCTTTGCTATTAACAGATTAAAATCCGAAATCATATTTTTGTTAAAAAAATAAAATATAAATGTGCATTTTTTAATTTTAGATATTTTATTTTGAAATAAAAATCTTGATCCGTTATATATTCTGTTATCTTATATTTTTATAATGTATTACATCCATTAATTATGTTAATTGTTTATTTGTTTAGAACGAGAGACGGCTTATCACGTTTTACCTGCCCAAGCTCTTAGTAGTGGGTATGTTATGGGGTGCGGCATTGACTCTCGCCACGTGGCTTCGTTGTACCGAGCTGGAGGATCCCACTTACAATTATGTCCTCGATACATCGAATTATTATGTAAGTTGAATGTGCTTATTAATATAAACTAATACAATTGTTTTAATTTGTTAATACAATAAAATATATATTCATTTATAGGCTATTAGATCTGTTTTGTGAGTGTATAAAAAAATATTTCGTTACTTTTTTCATTCTTATTTCTTTACAAATACAACATAGGTCGTAATCAAAATGCCTCGCGTTTTTTAAATTCCAAGGAGTAATTTGAATTGTATGATATATGCCATGTTTTTCTCCTCGCGATCTCTCTCAGCAACTCTGACAATTCGAATTGTCAGGCCAGTCGCACACCTTGAGATGTGGGTCGAAGTTCAATCCGGTGGGACATGCCTGTAATCGAGGCGTCCCCCAATTGCATTGATAGAATCGATCGCACAGAAAGGGATGCGGCAGTAATAGCGGATCCGAATCGTTAATCGGGCATCGTGGAAACGGCCGTGGACAACCGATCCAGGTCGAGTCGCAGTCGGCTTGCCAGTCGCACATCTGGAGTACGGGGTTAAAGTGCAATTTTTCCGGGCACTCGAATAGCATCGGCACGCCCCAGTCGCATTTGTAGAACTGAAATTGTTATAAAATTATGTTCTTTATTCGAAGGAATCCAATACTCCGAATCTCATCGATATTCGATAGTTCTCTATACGATCAAGAAGAAATAAGAGCGAACTAAACTTTTACTATACAGAAAATGTCGCGACATCGAAAGTGAGAAATTCACTTTATGCCTTATAATTTACTTATTGCTTTTTTTCCGCGAGGAAAAACTTACCAAGCTGCAGTTAGTCGGATGAGGCAGCAACACCGGATGTTCGTGGTGCGCGAGCTCAACGCACGGATTTTCCTCTTCCGTTCCGGTTGCGTTCAGATTTCTCACAACGTTGATCTTGAGCTTCACTTCGCACATCGCCCTGGCGTCCGCATCGGGGTCGTACTCGTGCACCTGATAGCCCCGATCGCGATTCTCGTGATTCGTCGAATCTTCCGGCGGGCACAAGAGTTGCATCGTGCAGCTCACTTGCAGTGGCTTCGGCTCGCTGTATTTTGCGATGTCTTTCCGCAATTCCACCGGACATTCGACGCTCGTGTACAATCCGCTGATCCTTAGCGAAGCTTGTAGTATAATAATGCCGATCGCTAATCGAGTTAACAGCTGCTTATTCGTTGATACAATTAATTTATTTCGTTAAATAAACGATCGAGCGGAACAACGCAGTACAAGCTGTTGCCTTAATTCATTTTGAAAAAGAAAAGAAATTTGGAATAATTGCGGGATATAAAACATTGCTATTTTACTTTAATATTTTTAATAATTTTCTACGGAAGAAGAGAGAATATAAGTCTATTTGATTAAAATATTATGTTCTTATTAACTACTGTTTTCTCAAGAAAAAAAAATTGAGAAAGAATTAAGCCTAAATACTTACCAAATTGTTTCATGTTCACAGATTAATAGGTCAAAAATAATTTTACTACAGCTGTTATGGAACACTTATTGTTTCCGCACGTTCGTTGTAACTTTTGTAACTCTCTTCTTTTTCCACACGCAGATTCGATCGCCAATCCGATACTGATATAGATAATTTCTCAACTAGGCTAGTGCTTCTCATGTTATACTCCAAGATTACCAGTTCTGGATCTTTATTTGGCGTCGTATCGAAAGTGGTATAGAGATCGAAACTAGTCTCTACCGAAGAAGACTGGCAAAAAGATGCGATATCGCGATAGAGAAACTCATAGCGAAAATAGTATTTGAGAGGTGTTTTAAATTTGTAGGTACATTCTAACATCCACACTTCTGTTTTCAGGGCTTCAAGGTATTCTTCTTCACGGTCGGTGGTTTCTACATCGCGTATCTGTTGCTTCTTATATTAAGGGCATACAGCGAACTACGATCTATGCCATACTTTGGTAAATATATCCTTTAATTCGAGCGGTGCGTTATCAACGCTACTATGTCAATTTATCTTTATCATTAGAAATAAAAATAAGGCAATAGCATACTCGTCGAACGCAGTCTATATCTTGAATTTTATAAATGAACAATTTAAACATGTAGGTATTAAAAAAATATTTAAAAATCGAGCCAGTGATAAATGAATTTTGATAAAAAGAATCGTATCCTCTCCATCATAAATTGATATTAAGACTATTGCATCTTCAGGCGACAAACTACGGTTACTCGATAAACGTGCGATTCGTTTTGCAGATTTACGTCTGCGATTTTTAACGTTGCTCGCCGCGGTGGTCGCCGGCGTTTGCAGCTTGGTCACCGCACGTCAATTCGGAGCCGGTGTACTGGAGGACAGCTTCGCTTCTCGCCTCTCCACTTATTATCGCACGTCCGCGCAGTTCATGGCTCTTTATGGTCTCCTCAATTTTTATTTGTACACTATGGCATACGTTTACGCACCTGCACTCCAGCAGGTGTATGGGCAACGTGAGTGTCTCCGAAGGAACAATTTGTTCCACTCTATCTTAACATATAATAACTTACTCATTTACAGCAATGAACTTCAAAAGCAAAAATCTTACGATAAGATAAATGTACTAAGAACTTATAAAAACATGAAGACATTTTTTTACATAATATTTATCGAAAAAAAATATTTTTGAATTAATTATTGAGAAGAAATACGGAAAAAAATTCACCTTATACGTCGTCAATGTCATTCATAAAACGACTTGTAATATTTTTTATTATATTATTAGTTTCAATATTGTGTTTCTTTTCTATAAATCTACTTAATTATAAAATACATTTAAAAGTAATTTTTTAATGTAACTCTACCTATTAGTCTCTTTTGTTTCTTGCGGATTTATCTATATCGTTAATTCAAACATATATATTATTTATATTTAGAACACAATTTTTCTTTGTTACAGACTCATCGATAACGAAAGATAGTCCTGCGTTCTCGATGTTCAATGATTCGGAGGAAGAAGTAATATACGGATCGGACGAGGATAGCCGGCGACCGCTGACTCGCACTCCACGAAACGCAGAGGACAGTGATTGAGGGCCTTAAGAAAAAAAAATTTCATATTCTATGCTAACCGAAACATTGATCGTTAAATGACAAAAAATCAATGAGAAGGCTTTTGATTCGTGTTTCTACTCTGATTCGCAGTCATACTGCCGTCATATTAAAAGTTAAAAAAAAAAAACTAAAAAGTCGTGTAAGTAGCTTGTTGAAGAATCAAATGTTAATTGTAAACGAAGACTTTGTGTCATGTTTCTGCAGACTCCAAGGGAGAAGCATATTGTACATAAATTATGAATATAATGATGTGAATTTATGTATCGCATTGTGTATAGAAGTAATGTAAGAGAATTAATCGCGAAAGAGGAAGATACGAACGGAACGATAGAAAGAAGAAAAAATAGGACAAACAAATTTTATAAATGTGTAAAATGTTAAGTAATTTGGAGAATGATGTAGGAATAAATTCCTATTGTGATTTCTTTCAATTAATCCATTTTTTATTAGCAAAATTAGGTGAGGTAAAATTTTACAAGATAAATAAGATGATAGCTAAATATAAAGTTATATATATTTCATGATATTCAATTCTGTGCAATTGCTTATTTATAATGTTCTAACATTATATTTGAAAGTTTATTTATTTTGTTATCGTAACATTTACGATATTTTTTATAAATTCAATACTCTTTGCGATGTATGACGTACATCGGCAAATTAAGAGAAAAATCATAAACATTGATAGAAATATTACATTGTGTTAAATACTCGTAAGATATTACCAGTTTTTATACGAAATGTACTTAACTGTTTGGTATACATATATGGCAAATTTAACACAAATAATAGATACAGCATCTTTACATATTATCGATAAAATGTTATTATTATTAGGCAAAAAAATGTGCGCATAAGAACATGGACATAAATGCGTGTTTTATACCTGGAAATTCATTGCATTTAAACAGATCTATAAGGTAAACAAATTTTCGAGAACTCGCAGTATCACGCAATATTAAGTCACAGCTATTTCGCTAACAATGATAATTTGTATCGACTTTTATTTTTATTTCGACTAAACAAAAATTTATCTATACAAACAGATATTTGTAAATAATGCATATTTTATGTTAATAACGGTCATTTTTTATCATTGTTCACATGTCTAAACATTTGCTATGTACTTAATAAAGAAATGTTACAATAAATCACAAGGTTTATTATTAAGCTATCTGCATTTATAACATTTACGTCAATACTCTCTATCACGCTCCTTCATCTTTGTAATTTTGTTTTTTCATAATTTCGTGTCACAAAGCAAATTTAAAATGTTATGAAAGCAGAATAAAAGAAAGATGAAAAAGAAAGTAGAAATTTCATACGATCTCATTGTCAATATCAAAACGAAAATGGTAAAACGCGTTGTTTTCGCAGAAATAATTTCTCCATCATTTTGATACATTGTGCGAATATAACTTCTATTAAATTTTATGAATTTTAAATAACGATGAACTAATTATATATTACGCCATACTAATTAAATTTGTATTACATTATTCATGTGTGTATTATAATTGAACAATATATAAATCCTCTTTAAACTTTACACATAACCATGGAGGGCAGGAGTAGGAATGAAATACACATATTTTTGCCATTCAATGTATGGTTTTATATCATAATGTTATTACAGAAATGGTATTTCATAATTAATTAAAAGTAATAGTAGTTTTATTGGTAAATCACTCGCGCGGGTGCGCCGACAGATTTTGACCTTATCGCTTTCGAGACGTCGGCGTTCACATCAATCGACGCGCACACACGGTTTCTTTTCCATTTTTTTTTGTTCAATTATATTTTCTTTTTGCATCAAATCTTCCCTTTTTTCACCATTATCATTATTATCATCATACATAATGGAAAAAAATGTTACATTTGTACAGCCATCATATACATGTTACATTTAGAATACCGTTAATCCATTATCCACTTTTTTGTCTCGTTAAAATGTGTGTATAGAGAGTGTCATGTGTTTCCTTTCCTTTTTCCTCTCGGCGTGTGTATGTACCTCGGTGTGTGTGTGTGTGTGTGTGTGTGTGTACGTGTGGTGTGGGGGTGTGAGTGGGTACGTGTGTGGATATGCCTACTTAATGAGAGTGAAAAATGCTATTTAGTCTCAACACAAACTACCAGCACGGCTCTCTGCATCGTATAAGTCGATCGCCAGGAGGTGGATTCCCCCGAGGAATTTCCAGTGGAATTCGAAATTACATTTTCGCATCTCTTATATGTATATAAACGTATGTACGCCCGATATATATCGAGAGAGAGAAAAATATGAAAATTCATGTACACGCGCGCGACGCGCGCAAATCGCGACTACGTCCTCGACCTCCCGCTAACAATGTAGATCGCCCTACGTGCAATTTGTATTAAATCTATAGAATGTGGCGGAGAGAGAGAGAGAGATGACAATAAATAAGATCTAAAAGTAGGTAGATATTTTCCGCTGCGTACAAAAAAAAAAAGAGACAAAACTCAAGCAAGACGAAAGCAATACATGTGTGTGTATAATTATTCGTAAACGATTAATCAATACAATAATCACTGCATCTACTTAGTCGTAATACGTAGCCGTTTGCAGCACGAGAACAAATATTATTTATCTCTATACTCAAGTATATGTATAACCTTCCTTAATTGATTATTTATAACTTCATTTACTTCATTATTTCAATGCGCGGCGGACCGCTACCGAGACAATTCTAAGATAATAACTCGATAGATCTCTAAATCCTCAGTGTCCTGTGTGTTTTTTTGTGTATGTGTATGTGTGTACAAGTGTGCATAAAATGCAGTTACATTGTCGCGGCTTTTTTTTTAATCGAGAGAGAGAGAGAGAGAGGGCGAGAGAGAGAACCAAATCAAATCAATTTCAAATCAGAGAGACGCTGACTTCCGCGTGGAAAAACTTTTGCAGTAGACGATTAAAACGACAAAAGAAATGAGATCGAAATGCAGATTCACGATAAAACATCTAAGTCGAGTGGAATAATCGTAAAACGAAATCAACTGTAGATCGCTTTATCAATGGATCTATAAACGATTCGCGGCAACGCGCGCGGCGGATTCACAGCCGATTGAAAGTGAGGAACGCGAAACTCTTAAAATTGCGACGAAAACCGAAATGAAATTATAAATATCGAGACCGACTGAATCAGTTTTCTTCGGCTCGCAACGTTGAATAATATGCAGATCGCGACGCAATCTCGATCGCTGACTCGAAAGAAAAGACGTCAAAAGCGACAATTAAAATTGTAAATTTCCATTCAGGTTTATTTCAAAGAAATTCACCCGAGTAGAGTTCACACTTTTATACAACGAAATCTTGCCTGTCAACCGCAATTTTTACCAGGCTCGATTGAACTTGGCAATTACATTCCCGGAAACAAACTCTCTTGCATCGACCTATAGTACTCTCCAATACTGCGATGTTATTTGCAATGAACGATAAATATAAGCATTAAACTAAAACTGATGTAAAATAAACGTTAAATTAAAATTGCTGTTAATATATCACGAAACTAACGGAATCACCGATGATGTAATTTCAAAAGTAATATTCACGGAACTGCCTAGTATCGCTTTTCCATTTCTCTTTAATTCTATATACATTCTCGAGATGATTACAAACAGATTACAATTGCATAAAGGCATGAAATGATTATCTATATAATTTTTTTCTCTTACGTTATATCGAACAGTCGCGGTCGGAATGATCGTTTAACGTTGTTCTGAAATGAAACCAAGTTTAAATCGGACAGGGACAGAACGAAAAGCAAAAACAGAAGATAAACATCTCTTAAACGGAAACCAATGATAATGTCTGCTCTTAGCGTCATTTTCAAATAATAACAAGTTCGTTGAAACGCGTAATTTCATAATTTCGGCAAGTTAATTTGCTGTACGTAATTTGCTCGTGTCTTTTTTTTGTGAAATAACGAAGACTTCGTCCATCCCGTTTAACGCATCTACTGAAATTGCCTCGGAAAAAGAATGCTCTCTCTCGCGCGTGGTTCCTTTCTTCCTTGTTTCTTTTTCTCGCTTACAATGGTACAATGACATTTTTCTCTCCTTTTTTTTTATTTCTTTTGTTTAATCTACTTGCACTGTTCTGCCTGTTTGTAAAAAACATTGTCGAAAATGATTCTTTTTTTTTCCTCAATGGCTATTTCATCGTCTTCTACGTTCTATACACTAATATACAAGTTATGTGATCTTGCGTTTTTTTTCTCTTTTAAATCCGTATGCCTGTCCGTCCCACTTATCTAATTATCTGCTAACATGGAATACACTTCTTGCGGCTGATTTTTTTCATTTTATTTCCCTCTGCATCTATCGTGTGTGTCTCAGACAGTACCACCGGCCCATATATCGTCGTGCGGACGTCCTAGGCACGAGGCTTTTCCCTCTCGGCGAAGATTCCCTCGCCGAGGTCGAAGAATTTTTTACGAGAATTCGATTCAAATCGTGGGACTCCACAATTTTGGCATTTCCGATCGTTTGGAAGGTAATTTCTTTTTTTTCTCCCAAGGTACCTCAGCGGGATACCGCCGCGCTTTCGGGCCGCACTCTTATAGGAGCCGATAGTTGATACGAACAGTGTTACGCGTTACATATATGACATATATCAGACAAATATATACGAGATATTTATATATATATTTAATATATACGTTCTTTTTTTTGGTATATATACGAAATATATATATACTTAGTTTAGCCCTGCGATTCCGTATTGTTGTGTTCGTGTTAATTCGCGAGTGTGTAGAGGCGAGTGGTGTCTCGGCGTAGGGGGAGGAGAGCGGTGGAGGAGCATGACCCGTGAAATGATGAGAATAGCGCGCTACTGTACATCAGTCTTAATATCAGGGCGCACCATTCCCGCTGATGTTCGCTTGCTTATCCCTCTTTGCGTTTTTACGTATCGTCGGTCTTAAAGACGAAAGTCCCGAGGAGGCATCAACCTGTCTTCTTTGTGAACGAATAATACGTTCACAGAGCGAGAGGAGAGGCCACCACCCTGAAGTCTCTGCAAGTTCGCATCCTGTAGATGCGACTGACAACCGATACAAAAACAGATTCCAACAATTCCTCTATTAAACGTCTCTTCCGAATGTCTATTTTACAAAGAAATTATCAGATAATCGTGCCGGTCGAAGAAATGCGGGATACGCGTGGACAGAAAGACGGGATTTCTGTCTGGCATTTGAATCCTCGGGGTGCTTTCCGGCGAGCTTTCCCTTAAGGCCGACGATATTCGAGAAAGGGCCGCGAAGGCCTTTCGTTCGAGCAAACAACTGTCCATATACCAGCGCCGTGGCAGTTGAATCCGGTGGGCGTGAGATGAATGCATGGGCAATCGAAGAATGTCCGCGTGTCGACTTGTTTTCTCGACGTGTCTTAAAATTGCACAATCGTCTTTTGCAAGTATGCGTGCGCGCGAATGCGTGCGGCGTGTGTGTGTGTGTGGTTTCGTGTGTACGTGTTTGCGGGTCAAGTGTTTGGTGTGTCTACGTGCATGCGTGGGTACGATATGCCCTGTGTGTAACGTATATATGTGTGTTTGTGTGTGTGTTGAATGTGCCTGCTGTTTATGTACTTGCATGTTTTGTCTGTATATGTCTGCAAAGTGGGAGGTCGCAGATCCTTCATATATATATGATACAATTAGCGTGTAGTATTAAAATCATATACAATTGTTACAATATTTAAATAGTACTTATTACATATATATATCATACCGATAAGGCTTATACATATACAGATATATATATATGTATACATATATTTATATATATGTATAATCAATATTTATAGGGTTGCTTAATCTGCTTGTATCTTAATGTTTTTAATGTCCCGGTGAGAAAGGGCCTTCCGGTCGTTTTGCGAGTCGATTCTCAAAGAATAGGACAGGAAAAGAGGTCGAGAGAGAAAGACAGACAGAGAGAGAAACGGGAAGGAGAAAAAAGGGGAGATAGCGGAAAGCGAAAGGTTTATCCTAAAATATAAATTTTCGTTCGAAGAAACAGAGTGATTTTACATAATAATTTTATCACACGGCGATGCTGCAGCTTTCTATGCAATATCGTCATATATACAACGTATTTACTAAAAAAAAAAAATCACATATGCAACGTCAAAAGTCGAGAGTAACGAAATTCAGAATGTTTCTCAATATCTAGAAATTCTAGAAGTATGTACAACTTCAAATGAATTTAAACTGTTCCATCAATGAATCTTGAAATATAAGTTTTTAATTCATTCGTACTTTTAAACTAAAGCTTTAAGAAATGTGTAAAATTCGTAAATAATTTTATTCTTATCTTTACTTTACTCTTCACCAATTTTTCATGTTGGTGAACATAAACTAAAAATTCGTTGTATAATACGGCGATATCTGATAGATACAATTTTTCAATTTTTTTTTTCGCTCAGGCGTACTTTCGCTCCCGGAGGTGCGCCTGTTACGTGCGCCGCCGTTATGAGAGCGCGACGCTCTGAAACGCTCCCGCTTCGCGAAAATCTCCGCACATCATCACGCCGAAAGAGCAGCAAAGACGTCCCGGAACTTATTGCGGGAAAATCAGAATAAATTTGGTCAACCGCTTCTCCCTTTGCTTCTCTTTCGCAGATGAGAGTTTACATCGAGTTTACAGATCACGGTGTTCGAGACTGCTGTCGGAAGCAACAAATAACATAACGCCATTGTCAATTTGTACATTTGTTAAAAAGAAAGAAAGGAAATGAAATTGGTTTACCGAGGCTGATCACACACCTCGAAAACTTGGACCCAATCTGGATCAACGTGATTCGTAAAAATTCGCTTTCAGGAAAGAGCGTACAACTGACGAAAGATAATAAAGATCGGATAAAGATTGTATGAAGATCGCGTGATTTCACCGGTCACCAGTTCCTTTCCTTTTTTTTCTCCGCACTCCATTTCTTTACACGCAATACAATGCATTTACTCAGGCAGCGTCTCATCAGCGGTATCGCATTATTTTTTTTCGTACTATATAAAAAATTTACACTATTTATAATTAAAAATCGATAAGAAGAGTTCTTTACTTTTTTTTTCATCTGGTACAAGGGAGAGGCTTAAGTAGATATACGACGACAGACTGCTAGATTAATGCGATTTCTATTCCCTAAACGTTCATACCAAATTTTCGAGAGATTTTATCATGGGGGAGGAAGAGAAGAGAAGAGAGAGAGAGAGAGAGAGAGAGAGATAGGAAAAATGTGACAATCGGAAAGATTAATGACAAGTGTACTTGGAACATGTTATACCATATTTATAAATGTGTGTGTTACATGTGCCGAGCTTATACATGCGTATATGTATATATGTATATGTATATATACGTGTGCGCATACGTATATATATATGTATATACGTGCAGATTTACAACATATGCATATACATACATTTACATATGCCTAGCGCGATTAGTAATAGCGGAAATGAATAATGAAATAGGGGAGAGAAAGGGGGACCGTTAATCAAACAATATCCGATAGCATAATAATAGTAATAATAATACAATATCATAATAATATAATAATAGTAATAAAAATACGAATAGATAAATCGATAATCTTACGTTAGCTGATAAGACATGAGATATTTTGCGTTCGACTTACGCTTCGTGCCGTTTTTCATATTTCTTTTTCGCAACGTTTTTACTCGCTTAATTTATACCTCGCTTCCTACGACGCGCAATTTCGTCGGGTGTGAACGATGGGATTACTGTTACAGATGAGGCGCGGTGTTTTTTTTTCCGTCTTCCCTTTAACGACTCTTAATTTACAGAATGAACGCGCGCTCGCGATTTATCATTACATGACGAAGGAACTATTTCTTTTTCTTCCCGTCACAATTTCGTCATTAACATTACAAGCACGCTTACACGTCTCTCGCGTTTTACGTAATTTGTTAATTTTTTTCTTTTAAAGCGGTTTTTACAGGTCCGGCGTCCTGTCGACTGAGAATATGAGGTGGCGGTTGGAATGTCTGTCTATATTCACGAGAGGTCTATCAATCGTACTTTTCGCCTCTCTACAGCATTGTCAATTGCGTATGCGTGTGTCATTCTGTGTGCGCGTGTATGTGTGCATGTAAATATGTGTGATACATCGAGCGAACGCTGCAGCCTCAGCGATTTTCGGAAGGGTCGCCCGTTGCGAGGAAGAAGCGAGAGTTAGGCATCTCGTGGATCTTTATACGCATCGTAAGCGGCGAATCGAACGATGAAATACCGCATTATTTTACTTTCGTCGCTTGTTCGTCCGTCACCCACCCCCTTAACGGCATTTCGACAAGGGTAATCTTTGCTTCGAACAAAGAGTAAGAGAGAAAGAGAGAGACAGCTGGGGGGAGGGGAAGGAGAGGACCGAGGGAAAGAGAGAGGGAGAAGAGGTACTTAAGAATTTGTCAATTTCGTTAATAAATCGTTATTTACAATATCTTACAAAGAAAGCTGCTACACGTTCTTCCCTCTCCTTTGCTTTTTCTTTTTTTTTGTACAGAGTCGTGCGACGGGGGCGTTTAATCTAGTTTGCTGGCGAGTTTTGTGAGTTCTTTCATTCTTCCTTTTTTATGTTTTTTCTCTTTGATTTCTACATATTTAACATCTACCTCGAAAAGAAAAATATATCACATCATTGTACACGGGAGGATGGCTGATAACCGAGGATAATGAAACAAAAAGTTATGTATAAAAATTTGTCCGAGATAAAAAAAAAAGAGTATCCTTATACAATTACAGTTGGCATAAAGTACGCGCGATCCCAATGAAAATGGCTGAGTGTTGTGCGCTCTTTGTCCTCCAACGGTCTATAATACAATTGAAATGTTGAAAAGTATGGTGTATGTGTGTCTGAATGTATATATATGTATATATCTGAAGAGAATAATGGAGAGAAAATGGCGCGAACGGATTATAGATACACATGCGTTGTGCACGATCTTCTGATATATTTTTGTTTCTCGAAAACGCGTTTATATCATTTATACAATGTACAATGGTCTTCGGCTTTTACGTTCCAAGAATTGTAGCTGCAAATTATATAAAGGGTAGGGAGGGGAGGGGGCGGGGATAGGGAGAATATCTCTCTCTATATATATATTTATATTTATATATATATATATATGTATATATAATTTCTTTTTGCCTAGTGCAACTTCATGAAATATGTTTATATCTTACAATTGGATACTTCGGAAAAATATGAAATTGAATGAGTTCGGTTAGAGGGGGAGGGGGAGCGTAGCTACGGTTAGGACAGCAGCGTTTAGAACGTAAATCATAAATTTAATATAATTAGTAATTATCATATAATACATAATATTCACAGACTCCGTTAAAGAACAAGGGGCAATGCTCCCGTGGGAAATAAAATATTCACTGAATTTATCGGTCCTCGCGTATTTCGGATATTCGTATCTATACACATTTGTTATTTATATCACAATTTACAAAATTCGAGGATCTCAAGAGGGTTTGAGGGAGGGGGTAAGGGGAGGGATACGGGAAACGGTGGAAATGAGAAAGAGAGTGAGGAAGGGACGTGTTCCTTACTCCGGAAGCTACGAACGTGAAAAATGAACAAAGGAGAACATAGTGGCGTGTAAACAGCTCATCTTGTTGTCTCACTTTGCCTGCTTTTTCGTATCTGTCTTCACTTCCCTCTGTGTGTGTCACGTAATCATAGAATAGAAAATCAATGCGAACAAGAAAGGAAAAAAAATTAAACCTTTTTCTCATTTAAAAACTTTCAAACGTTAATCTCGACGTTAAAAAAAAAACTAAGGAAAAAAGAAAAGAAAAAATCGTATAACGAAATAATCGCTCTCTTTGTGTGAACGTTCCAAGTAGTCTCAGGGGGACAGATCGATGGTCAGGTCAGATGTCCAGATCCAAGGGGTCTATGCCTGATTGTTTTTTCATTCCCATGTCAAACGCTATGCTACAATTAAACAACATATCTATAAACTCCTAAGACTTCTACTTCTCAAGTTTTAACCCTATTCTCTCGTCTGCCGACACGTCGATCAGGCGCATACCGCGCATTTTAAAATAATACTAAAGCAGCAGCAGTTGCGTGTAAAAGAGAGGAAGCGGCGCGGTATACGCGAGATCGGGAACGTCACACATTACGCGCGGCGTGTTTGTCTCTCTGCGTATGTGTATGTATGTACGTGTAAATATGTGTTACAACCCTCGTACAATTCGATATAAATGCATGCAGCACTAAGACCTAACTCTCTAAAACTGTCCGCGATTTTATCGCGTCGCCCTCGTAAAAGCTCGTTGTTGACGTCCTCGCCGAGGTTATAATTCTCGACGAGAAACATCCGACGCTTCGCACATCCATGTAACGACACCGTTTTGCTTTACTCTCGCCGTAGGATCTAGAGCCCTAAAACATCTTTCCTATTCCGTGTACCGACTCGAGGGGACGTAACGCATCTAATAAATCCAGCGTAATTGCTCTGCACGATAATTCAATCGAGCGATCCTCTCTTAGGGATCTGTACGAAATTTAATGCATTCTTATACGGCACGAGACATCAAGCCTCAGTGGCTTGGCTCAGCGTGCGCGATTGGTCGTGAAACGTATTTGAAACTCGTCGAGCCGATCGTGAGAAACATTGTCTGCAAATCAGAAATCATAGTGCAACGTCTACTCGGTATGCTCAATACACTCGGTAATGCGAATATCTCTACGCACGTGATACTCCCTCCCGTGTAGGGGAGGGGTACGTATTGCAAAACGATAGAAAAATGCGCTACAACGTATCTCTATCCTCGTTTCTACGGACTGTTTTTCCGTGGGGTTCTCGTTAGAACAGACTTCGCCATAACGTGATCTCGCGTTGCCCGGGTCCCGAAGTGAAGCTGTGGGTTTTTTTACTGTACAAATTGTCGTCGACTTCACGATTGCAAAAATAAGAAAGATCGTTACATTAGCAAATTTCTCACGAGAAACAATCGTCCGAGAAGTTTTTTTTTCCGCCTCTTTTTTTTTCTCTTGCCTTCGAAGGACACGGGGCAAAACGAGGAAAGAAAAAAACGTGGGAAATTCGTTGAAATACGTCATTCCCGTCGATAGATAGAGAACAGATCTCGCTAAGGTAAAAAGATAGGGTTGGTGGTGGTAGTACTTAACGCGACGTGCGGTTCTTCTTGCCTCTCTCCTTGCGGAACTCTCTTCCTTTTCCGCGGTGGGAGGTGATCCCGCGCACGTGCGTTTATAAAACTTGCGTTGATTGCTGGCTCGACGTCGAGACCGGGCCGGACGCGGCGGACGCGGGCGGTCCGATCGGCCCGAGATCGCCGCCTCCGCTGTTCGTCGATGTACCAGCAGGCGTTGCTCCTACTCCCATCGCCGAAGCGGTCTTCATGAAAAACTTCTCCAGTTTAACGATGATGTGCTTGCCGTATGTGTACTTGCGCAAGCTTCCCAAATGCGGCCGAATCTTATGCATCAGTATCTTGCGTTGCTGCGGCTCCGCGACGTCGATCATCTTCTGGACGACGTAATTGGCATACTGATCCTTCATCATCACATTCAACGCGCTGCTCGATGAGAATGAAAAAATAAATAAACGACAAAACATTAGACTCTCAAGAACAACCGGATTCAGATCTCTCAACAATACCATCCGATACGAAAGTACACTCACTTATCGTTGAAGCCGCAAACTTCCTCAATCAGTACAGCACGTTCCTGTCTTGTAGCATGAGTCACGCATTTCTCGACGACGTTGCTCGCAAACTTGTGCTGGGAAAGAGCGAGTACTTTGCCTCTAACGCTGCCGATTAATTGTGCTTTGTCCTCTGGTTTTCCGTGCTCTATAACAAAAAAACAATTTTATTATTAGTATTGACATAATAAAATTTGAGTTAAGTTAATAATAATCTAAATGGTAATGAACTTTTCAACTTTGCGTATCGCTAATAATAATAGCGATGCGCAATGATAAGAATATATAAAATCTATATGATAAAGATGATACAGATGGCATTATTATTATATATAGCCATAATTTATCTAGTAATAATATATTATCAATTATCAATCAGTAATAATGTATTGAAATTTTTTAAATTTTTCATCCAAAAGATCTTTAGCTCTCTGATAATCGCGTATGGTAATCGGTATGAAAGACATGATATTTACCAAGCACATGTTGAATGACGTAATTGCCATATTGATCCTGAATTAGTTGGTCAGTTGCGGCATGCAACTCTTGCAGGATTCCTTGAGTTTGTTCTGGAGTGCAATGCTCGAGGATACGTTGGATCACTCGGCAACCGTACGGATGAGTACTCAGAGAGTATACCTGTCCCGCAAAAGCTCCTATCACGAACTGCAATGCTCGCGGTTCAACACACTCGATGCATTTCTGTACAACATGATTCCCGTTCTGATCCTTGACGCACTTCAACACATGCCCATCCAGTTCTCGCACGATTTCCTGCTGTTGTTCCGGTCCGATCGACTCGAGTGCCTTCTGTATGACTCTGCAGCCATACATCTGTAGCGCCAACGGAAGGACGTGTCCGCGAACCTGATATAAAAAAATAAGAATAATAAAACAAAGGAACACTCATAGAGATATCATTAATGTAATTACTTGACAAATTGTCAGATTATCTCATGCGTAATCACGTTGAATCAGATGACACGCAAAATTTTTTCGTCATATACAATGCAGCGAGTTATGATAAAAATAGAATAGTTATAATAGAACAACATAAGATTTATCAACAATCTATGATCTCTTAAAAATGTATATAGAAATTGCAAACAAAAATGTTCTGCATAAGATATAGATACTAAAAAAAAAAAAAAAAAAAAAATTAAATAAAAAACTACAATAAAAAACAATATGTATAAAATAAAAGATATGATTGAAAAAAACCATTTATCAAGAGTGCATTAAGAGTGTTCCGACATATAGCCTGCGGATCAATATTGAACTATCAAGAATTATTAGATTAAAATGAGTTAACTCCAATCAATTCTCTTGGATAAAATAATTTTTCGAGATATAACTGAAATTTACCTTTTGGGCAAGAGTCGATTTTTGTTCCTGTGTGCCGTATTCAAAGAACTTCTGAATGACGTAATTTCCGAAGACATCTGTCATGAGAGAATATGCAGACGAGAGGATCTCTTGGAACACGAGCTGTTTCTCGCTGGCTGAGGCTCGTTCCAATTTCTGCTGAATGAATCGCGAACCATGCTGATCTTGACTGAACTCGACTATATGATTAGCCAAATCGCGCAACTGAAGACTCGGGAAACTGAGGAGAAAAGAACACGTGTAATTTATTAACGCATTGTTCAACTGCGTGGATAAAGCCACTCATTACGAAGTCAGAAGCGAGAAATCATACGTAATTTATTCTTGCAATATACATTGAATTTTCTTTTTTCACATGCCACCATTTATACTTGGTAAAACTTGAAGCGTACTCTTTTTTTTATCTTCTTAAGTCTTAAATTAATAGATATCTTAATCAATTGTCATAGAAGTTTATTTTCAGGGAAAACAGAGCAACATACATACGGACAAAATAAACTTCGTTAGGCAAGATAATAAAAAGGAGCCTTTCGTCAACAATTTGCCGATGTATTTTACTCACAAACGACACCTGAGAGAACTAATTTATTAATGATAGTACAACAAATTATATCACTTCTCGCTGCCGACATCGTAATTTAAATGCTAGAACTGTAAGAAATTCCATCAATTTTACCGATTATTTCGAAAATCTTCCAACAGACGGGATCGTCCTCCGGAATTTTTGTCATTGATATTAGCGGCACCTCCACGGCCGGGCTTGCCTACGAGATTGGGAAAAAGAGAGCTACTAGAGCCAAACACTCCGTTGGCTGTTAGTGTGGGTACCGCACTGGCGCGGAACTTGGCTTCGGCACCGGGAGCTGCTGATACTCGACTGGCACCTCCGACAAGACCACCCAAAGATCCCCCTAAAGTCGGCGGCGGTGTTAATGACAAACCCAGGGGACTCGGTGACGCGGTAACTGTACCTGCATAATAAATTGAGGCGCTTAATGACAGATGATTCTTTTGATCAATTTGGAGTCGATTCTTCCTCGCATATCAAAGATCGCCATCATTTCTAATCTCGATCTCTGATCTCGGATATCACATGTCCTTGTAAAAAATAATGAAAATTTTGCTATGACATGATATAATCTAATTTAAATCAAACGAAGAAGACTGATTATTTTAATTATTACTGAGAAAAGCTCAGTTCCAATAAGTCTTTTATCGTTAATTACTAAAAGTAGTCAATGATCCATACTTGTTAAACAAAAATCGACTCCAAAATTTCCCGAAATTACACGAACAAGAATCTAAGCGCTCGTATCTAATTATGCTCGATCTGTATCTGTACCTGTGTCTGTATATTCTTTGCAGGGAGTACCTGCATTTGTAGCTAAATACACACTGTCCCAGGTACCTGTATCTAGAGAAAATAGTATTTCTTATCTCACTGAATCGTGAATGATGCGCTGTACAGTTTTTGTACAGAAAACAATGTACAATGTATAACGGCTAAGTTCTAATCCCGTGGTGTGTTATGTTAAAATTACTACGGATTACGGATGGCGTACACTGATACGCTCTCTAAACCAGTCGTCCGCGCGGACGCTTCCAATTAAGACGTTTTCAAGCATCAGGACGCAAACATAATTTTATACGCCGGGATCAGTTTAGAGAGAAGGGTAGTGTTGTTATCATAGCTGAGTTATGTATACAAAAGCACGTGTACAAATGGATTACGATATATTATTAAGACACAATGTACAACATAGATAATCGAGCGTCTATGGCGATTCCGAGATGCCTCACAGTCGTCGTGTACAGGCGTCTAAACACTCCGGCACGTCCGAATTCCCTGAAAGGTTACCACGCTGCGTATCAACGTACGGCGAGAGAAGACGATAGCGGAGAAGTCGACAAGGCGCGAGATAATTCCCCCTTTCAACTTCCGTTATCATTCGCGCTTCTCCGTACGTTTGTCCGCGCAACGGGGAAAACATTCGAACGTGTCTCGCTCTAGACGCCCTACACCCCGTTATATATTATCGGAGTAACATTTCACACACAAGAAAACGATCCTTACCGAGGGCGCCGTAACTCTGAGGCCACTTCGCCCGGCTATATTCCAAGCTTGGACTGAAGGCTGAAGTATTTCTATCAAAGGAATCTCGTCTGCCGGTTGAAGACGCACCGAGGCCTAAACCTGCACACAAGACGGACACCGTCATCTTAACACGGGATGCTCGAGGGCAACCGGTATCGAGCATACAAGAGACGTGACGATATTGAATGGATATATACGAATCATGGATATATAATAATCAACAAATCGGCACAAACGCTCTACTTTAGAAAGGCACGTCGCTGAAAGAGAGCTGGCTGTATATTCAACATGAAAAGTACAAATCAATTAGGTTGTATGAAGCATGCAAACACCTTACGTTACTCTTGACTCATTTTTTTTTCTTTGTACATGAAAATCCGTACACACCACCAAATGTAGAGGAGCCAAAAGGAATTTCTCTGGTCCCAGGAAAAAAGCACTCGAGTTGATAAGCTCGATATTTCAGGATGTCTCTCTTTTCCACATAACGAGATAGAGTAAAATATACATATCTCCATACGGTATTTTTTTTTTACAAAGGATTAATCTATGTCTTTCTACGACGCTATGTAACTACCGAACAATTACAATGTACGCTGCAATCTATTTTCTCCCGTTTTTTTTTTTTATTTTAAATTGATTAGTTCAAATGTACAGGTTTCTCATACGGGAGCACACTTATTTTACATTCCCTTGGCGCTTTAGAAGTTATCGCTTATTACGTCAGTTATTATATATACAAAGATAACTTCAGAACTCGAGAAGCTCGTTTCCACAATTCGTATTCTTAAAAACCGGGGATTACACATATATATACATGTTATGAATTCACCGAAGGGTCCGTGGTTGTCTGGTTTTCAAGAATACAGATGCAAAATTCTCTCTCTCGGCTGAAAACAAAGTCGCGAAACGCGCGGGTTTGTAGAAACTGAGAGAGCGCTGTTTTCCTGGAAGGTAGAGAATTCAGCGAGAGCAAAAAAAAGGTGTGCCCGAGGAGAAGGAGGAACAGAGGAGGATCGAGCACGATCGCGGATGATATACCTGTATTCTGCAGTTGGGCAGGCGAGCCCAATGCTCCGAGCGGGGAGCCGCCGTATCCTAGAGCCGCTAAACCTGCGGCAAGTCCCGAGCCTTGCTGCTGCGCCTGTTGCACCGCAACTGCCTGGGCTTGCGCGACCACTGCCGCTGCGCTGCACGCCGCCAGACCTGCACCAAAAGCCCGCAACCCACACGCGCTCTCTTAGTCGTCGTAAGTGTTGATTAGCGTATGTTACCGAGCCTTACACCGTCTACCGAAGAAGCCTGGCGATCTACATATCGCAATCGCGTGCCCGCGAACGTGGGCGTCGTACGAGAGAGAGAGAGAGAGAGAGAGAGAGAGAGAGAGAGAGAGCCCGGAAGAAGTCGAATTTTCAGGCCGTTGCGTGAGAAACGTCGATTCCGCACCGCGATCGTATCGTTCGACGATTTCCGCGGAAAGATATGTGCAATCGCAAGCGGTTAGTTGTATTATTCATATCTTTAATTAAAGTAATTGTACGTAATTGCAGTAATTTTAAAATAATATTGATCAAACAGAAGAAATATGTAGAAATTTTAAAAGTAGAAGGAATTAAAAATAAAGTAAAAAAAACATTTTCAAGTTTATATTCTAAATGTTGAGCTCTTTGCGCAGAGATATTCACTTTTTCACGTTAATGTAATTACTATTCTTAATGAAATTTATATTGCTTTTCCCACATTATATATCTTGACTTTAAATTATAATGTAATGTTGTGTAATGCTACAATCTCCTTATTTTCCTACGTTTCTGCATTTATTAGAGAAAGAATTTGCAAAAAATGCAGACAAATAACATCACAGTTTTGTGTGAGAAAATCGTGATGTAATAATCCACCAGAAGATATTAATTTAATCGCTACATTTAATCCCTCGAAATCCGATACGCTTCTTATATCGCGATTAAATCTGTATCCAGCAAAATTATCCTTTCTCTCCGCTATTGCGCGCGATATCCCCATTTTGCGATGGTAGACCACAGGCGTTGCCCCTCTTTGCCACCCTCTCCGCCGCGCGTACCCTTATCTACGACACGCGGAATCGTGCCGTCAGACCTGGTATCTGACCTCTCGTATTTTCTGGTTGCAATGTTACACAGTGCCGGGCGTGTTTTTACGCGTATTTACAGGGGACAGAGACGAGTCAACGAGTGAACGGCAAAGTGATGTCGGACGTTAACGATGATGGCAACACGTTTACGTATATCATAATCGAACGGCTGTCATATAATTTCGTTTCGCAGCACACAATCATGCATTTTACACACGTATTACACGGACGAGGGAAAAAGGGGAAGGGGGTCCGATCTTTACAAGATGTTACACACAACATGACTTTACAAGACTTCTTACAACAGGTGTGTTTACAAAGAGGACGGCATGATAATGCGGCAGGCCGGATTTCCCGTTAGACTCACCTAGGCATTCGCCGGGCGTAGCGTTGCTGTGCGACGTCGGAGTCGGTTGAGAATATAGGTTCGGCGGCGGCGGTGCCGGTGGACCCGGTGGTGGCTGAGACGGGGCTCTGTTCACGAGAACCGGCGCGGGGCTCACTAATCTCATGGGGGTCGCCGCCGAACTTAGCCCGCGCACGCCTCCCATGACGATGGAACCGTTCTGATCGTAGTAAGCCGGTATCACCTGATACTGACCTTGTACCTGCGGAAAGATTAATTGCGCCGAGTTAATTATCCGTACTACAAAATGTAATTAATCAATTATTAAAAATCGATCAATAATAAAACTTATATACATTGAGAAATTAATGGAATAAGTTTAGTATTAAAATTAAGTGAGGAGATAATTGAATTTAAAATATTGGCTTCTTGCCAACTCTAGTAAAGAGAAGTTACAGCTCGAAAGGAAGCTTCATCCTCAGACCTCTTCGAGGTTTTTGGACTTCATTCAGAAAATGTGATAATCTGAAACGTCCGTTTATGCATTTAGCTCCGCGTAAATCGCCCAGATTTCTGTCGCTTTCATTTGTATCGCCGCGCATAAATACAATAGACGTAACTCGCCCCAAATTGAATGTCTAATTTTATAAGTCGGGAACATCACAGCGTCGCGAGTTCTACCTTCTCTTCTAACTTGTCACAATAGTAAAATATCTTATAGGAGGACAATGTGGCAATCTCTAATTGGTACAACGAACGGCTTCACGTCTTACGTCAAGCACAAAAAACAATCATCGGCCACTCGCGGAACGGGCGAGCGAGAAAATAGCTTTTACAAAATTAGAAACATCGCCTAATTCGCGGTACGCGCTAATTCGTGAGCTCTCTATCTACCCCGCCGTTAAGATTAAATTTAGACCCTTTATTTAACGGTAATGCATCATCGCGATACTCGCGGCCCGATTTAATTTGAAACACACGCGACATCGATGTGCACATCTTCGTAACCCCGGAGAAACTTTCTTTAGACCAAACTCCGTAAAAATTTTCTAAAAAAAGTCGTGTGATTCCCATTTCTTGAATTTTACAATTAAACAATTAAAGATAAATCGAGTTGATATTCCCCGAGAATATCTCCTGATCAAGCCATGGCAAAGAGATCGTGTCTTTTATTTTATTTTCATTCGCAAACGCGCGATTCGCGAAAATTGTCATCCGTCTGTTCTCTTCTAGTTTTTTTACGAATTTTGACGATTATTGCCGGCGGCTGGCTTACCGTTTGTGCCAAATTGTTGGCGGTGTCCTGCGCGGCTGCGGCCGCGGCCGCTGCCGAAGAGGGGGTGAGCGGTCGCCGGGGTGGCGGTGGCGCGGCCGCCTGGGGTGGTGCCTGCGGCAGCAATCCGGCCGGATAGACCCAGGGCCCGACTGTCCCGACACCATAGTACTGCGGTACCACAGGGGGTGGCGCGCCAGCTATCAGCGCCCCTACGTAAGGCTCCTGTCCGCTGATAACGGTGTACGGGGCCGTAGGAAAGTTCTGTTGCTGCTGCTGCTGTTGTTGCTGCTGTGCCTGGGATGCGGCCAGGTACTGTTGCTGCTGCTGCTGTTGCTGCTGCTGCAGAAGTTGCAGCTGTTGCGGAGTCGCGCCTTGCGGCTGACTGCGGAACAGTTGCTGAAAAAAGAAAAAGAAAGAGAATTGAGTATGACGCGAAGAAAGGTTTCCTCTTTTAACAGCGCTAACGTTCTCCAGACAATGTCGTAAGAAGGCTGTGATAAAATAGACTAGATTGATAGACGTTAATATTTAAAACAAAAATAGTAACTTGCTCTTCAAGTTATATTTTCATTAATAAAATTGTGTCACATCAATTTGCTAAATTCTAAATGTGAATTTTGAAACGTTGGCCAAGCGGGCTTGAGAATCATTAAAGAGAATCTTAGGAATATTTGAAGTTGTCATCTCAAGAGAAGAATACTTCCATCGATTACAAACGAAAAATCTTTATCTCGTCATTCAAGACACCAACGAAAATGTCGCGTGTTACAAAACATGCAACAGTATAGTACATCTTTTATTAGTCACAATGTGCTCGTCTTCGCACGCTTCAACATCGTATTTACAGAGTTACTACGGAAGACGAAAAAAGGGGGGCAATTAATCAAAACTTGATACGTCGGATATATAAGGATAAAACCAAAGACAAACACCTTTGCAAGCATTTCTGTGTTTTTTCACAACGAGCTTTCTGAAAGGAAAACGAAATAGCTCGAGCTTTCCTGTCGGCATACCGGCGTGTGTATCGAGGAGGGACCATATAACGCGCAAATGGCGCCAGCGGCCAAGACGACCTTTCGGCTTCAAGGCCCGGTGACGGCATCGTATTACCGGGATAATCGTACGGACCAGGGTTTTCAGCACGAGGATCAAGGCCGGAGGCAGGCGGTGCCGCCGCCTAGAAGCGGCGCAAAAGACAACTCGGCATTAAAACCGAGGAAGACGACCGAGACCACCACCACCACCTCCTCCTCCTCCTCCTCCTCCTTCGCTTCCTCCTTCAGTTGGTGATGGTCGGCCTGGGTCGACGACCCCCCGCGGACGTTCACCGACATGCGTTCGCCTCTTCTTCTGCGTTCCCCGGACCGGTGAGATCGTACCGTGAACTTTTTAATTGACCGACAAACGTGCCGTGATTCGGCACGACGATGCGATGTAGAAACAGCGGCGGAGTTACGACGAAAACGCCAGAAACGTAGTGCAAAAAAAGGAAATTCCACTCTCGTCCGATGAACACATGTTAAAATTAAAAAAAAATAATAATAATGAGGTTCTCCTCTTATTTATTTATTCGCGTGATCTCCGATCAAACTAGACGCGAGCGCTCTTAAACGTAACGTTTTAAAATCTCTTTTGTGTAAATTACAATCTCAACTTTTTTTCTTTTTGCCGAAGGAAATGAAGATAAATTTAGAATTAGCGCGACCCCGCCGCTTGAGACTATTAAACTAATGGGTATGATTGGCGGACGAACTTTTTTTTCACGATGCTATCGGTCACCCACGGCATATTACGATACGAGTTACTGAGCTCTTGTGTTTACGGGGCGATCGATAAATTTAATAACATTATCCGAGCCCGAGTTCCTCCGACCTTCAAAGTTACGAGAGCTCGGAAATAAATAGGAACGTCGACCGAACGGCTGATTTCTTGCACGAAGCGTGGAAAACTTAAAGCCATTCACGACACGCTCCAGCCCTAAGAGGCAACGATGCGTTTCGGGTATTAACCTCTTCCGGAAACGGCTCGAGCTTGAGCCAAGGCCACAGCTACACCTGACCGTTGCTCCTTGCAACAAGAGAACTCTATTTTCCAGTGGACGTATTGATTAATAGCCGTGCCTCTTAATTTATCAGCGCGTCTTATCATTCTAAAATTAAATTACACGTTTATATATCTCGGAGCATATCGCTAAATTATTTCGTAATTATAGTTCAGCTATCACCGTCTGGCATATAACTTATTTATTTTACGAGATGTTTCATTCGTATCCGAGAGGAAGAAGAAAAAAGATACGTCGCTGAGATAACACACGGCCGTTCAGTCTCCTAGCTATCGGTTCTACACCGATGCACTTTAATGCGGCAACTAAAATTTCATCCCGAAGTAAAAAAGTAGTGTAATAAGGAACTTTACATTGCAAGGCGCGCACGCGTGAGACGCGAGCGGCTTATTAAGGTCGGATATCGTGTTCGAAAGGAATTTTTTTCCTCCCCCTTCGATCCCGCTGAACCGTTAATCAAAGAGGCCTCGTCATTGATCGGGACTCGGAACTGGTACACGGCGCCGACAGAAACAGTCTCATTAAAACGCTAATACTATATCCCATCCCGAAGCGAGAGTCTGTGTTTATCTTACCTCTATTTGTTTAATAAAATCGTTATCTTATCGTCGGCTAGTTCGAAACAACTAGATCGTTATTTCCTCTCCGCAACGTTCGTCTGGCGTATCTAATGTAATTATAATTATGCGTATTTCTTCTCTCGCAATATCTGATTGTAACAATTACCATATGTTCATTGAAATTTGTCAAGTATTACGAAGATCTGAACTCTTCGAAATTACGAATCGTTACAGCTATCGCCGCTCCCGAGAGTGAAAGGACCAAGACAAACGTCTAAATGAAAATTGCGGTGATTTCGCGTAAAAAATGGCAGAGTGTCAGAGGAGAGAGAAGAAAAACGAGGAGGAGAGAAATTGGGTGAAGCACGTCATACCCAGGGAGGGACAGTCGATCTCCGACGGGGAGGCAAACAATGGCGCGGTACATTGTCGTTGGTGAGAAAGGGGGTGAGTTACACTCCTGGAAATGTGAGTCATTGTTGAATATGTAAGGCTTCCGCCGGCGGCTTGCAAATCGTCGACCGACGATATGGAGTCTGATTTCCTAGCTGTTAAAAATACCCGTCGCGCTTTTCGAGAACGTCGTCGACGGGAATAAACGGATTGCCGTGTTCTTAATTAGAACTATGATATACGTTATAACAAAAAATGCACTTGGGATCTTCAAGAGAACCGAAGGTATAAAAATATTTTCTTACACCCAGAATATATAAATTTTTATCGGTGTTTCTTTAAAGATAACGTATACAAGCGAGACGTGTATAAAAACGAGAAGCGCTAAAATTGAACGTCAATTAGTGTCAGTGTGGTATAAAATTATTAAAAGTTCAAGAATATCGCACGTCCAATGATTATAAAAATTAAGAAAATGGTAGTAAATCTATATCTCTGATGATAAAAGAAACATTAAACGTGGTTGAAATAAATCTATTTAGGACTAACTAAATCAGCAAACAGTGCAAATAGACATATTAAGATTTGAGATTAATTCTTACGCGAATAAATAAAGGACAATTTCAATTTTTACAGAGTTTAAACACGAAAGTTTGTGTTTGTCATTCTTGAAGTAATCTAAAACAATCGTAGCTAAAAGCACATATTGCCTAACGCGAATAACAAATTGAACGGCATCCATTGCAAAGCCTTTATCGAGTAACAACGCATGGAAAGTGTACATCATTAATTTTAATCGAGAAGTTACCGCGAAGGACTTTCTAAGCGAAAGAATCAAAGAGCGTAGCCGATTACATAAATCAGAAAGGAATCAATTAAGATACATATACATGTATATATATATATATATAAATTCTCTCTCTCTCTCTCTCTTTCTCCCTCACTCTTGTCAAAGTATTATTGTCGCGCAGTAATGAATATAGAGTGCCAACTTTTCTCCTGCACTCATCAGTATCCGGATAGACTTTCACTGATCTACGATAGCCTACTTATTGTCTTTGTTTAATTACTATTTGCACTCTCCTTCAGCGAGCGCAAGAAATCGTATTATATCTAGTAGCACGCGTCGACGCATTTCCGCGATTTTTTTTTTATTGTCGCGCAGACAATCGTACACTTTCTTTCATCGAATGAGATATCGTGCTAAACACTTTTAAGCCTCAAAACTGAGAGTACCCCCTTTTTTGAAACAACAAACTTTCGATCTCTTAATCTCGTCTTATAATTAAACTTTTTTTATTTTTTTTTTATTTATGTAACTGCTTGTTACAAGTGCAAAGAATTATTGTAATGCTGTTTACGCGAGGCACAAAAGCCAGATTTTCTCGCGAAGGCGCGTCGGGCACGGGTCGGCAGGTTCGGCGAAAGGTTTTTTGACGAACCGACTTACGAAAAAGCGTAGCGTAACGAATGATATAAGAACGATTAGGTAAGAGATATTCCATTGCTGAATTCCTCGCGAGTCATCCGCGGAAACGAGTTTGAGAGTGACGAAGGTTCGACGACCTTCCTTCTCTCTGCGCGCCACCGTCGTTTGCCTTTCATAACCGGTGCGTTTTAATATTTATCGTCGGTTCGTCTCTATCGTGGCGCGTGCATATCTTGGGAACGTCAAATATTTCGATTTCGATCCGCTATCGATTCGTCCGATCTTTTATCGTTGACTGCCTGCGATGTGTGATCGTTTCCAAGAAATGTTATCTCGGACATATTCTTCTTTAAATTAACAATAAATAAACTCTCTTTAAATTTAAAATCACCGTCTGCCTTTGCGATGTATATTCTCTACTTCTCTTTAAATACGGATTTATGAGCGGAAGTAAGTTTTCAAATAATAGATGAAAAGTCTCTTATTTAAGAATGTCAAAAGTTAATGTTATCTGCAGATGTTACTCGTGAAGCTTTTTTTTTTGGTATTACATATAACTAATACTTTAGCGAGCTGGTAAATACATTTATCGCGTAGACCATGTTTCATTCGAAAGCTCGATTCTACGCTCTATATAATAAACCATCACAGTCAACTCGGAGATCGGGTCATCAACACCGTGCGCATCCAATGCAGGTATTGTTGTTGATCTCGCATCCGAGTACGCATCCGTCACCGCGTCTTATCGCATCACATTGTCGCAATCGCGAAAATTAGCGATAATAACGCGGATGTTTCACCAGCGACAGAGATCGCGGCAACAAGATTCCGAAAAAAACAAGTCTGGGAAAAATTTCATTGAGTAAAAAATATTCCATATTTAAAGTAAGCTATATTTTCGTACTTCAAAAAGATTCGTATGTAACATAAGAATGTACCTAACGACGCAATC